CTAAATCATAAAATATTGTATTGTAGGCTTTTAAACATTCAAGATTCAAGAAAATTGGTTTTAAAACACGAAGGGAAGCTTGAAAATAATCTCACTTTATGTTGAAGTAATTGAAGTTGATAGGGAAGTCTTGAATTTCCGGTTAAAACGAGGTGATTAACTTCTACACCGATGTTTTCAATCATCCGACGCTTTTACTTAGTGTCTCAAGACGAAAGATCACAATACAACAAATGTTAAATGTTTATCAACATTGAATGTCGTACACAACCCTTTTATAAATCGGGCAGCTAAGCGAGCGTCGTCTTACTATCCATTCTTCATTCACAACTGTTTACTATTTCTATTTTTTTTCTTGTAGCTTGTCTTTAACGTTTTTAAATATATCTACATAAAAACAGAAGAAAAGTATAGCGAAATGCATCTTACCTAAAATTAGTTTAATCACTGAACGCCTACGAATAAGAAATATTTACTACTGATTATAATTAGAAATTGTCTATCGAGAGTCTAGCACTATGCCTCTGCGAACGTTTACACCATTCATTTTTAGATATTTTTAATATTTCCCGAATTCAAATGTTACACAAAAAAATCGGCAGCACAATTGTGTAAAAATATCCCGTACAGTAGAATGAAGTCTACTTATAAAAATGTATACACGAAAAAAAAGAAAGGAGAATTATAATTAAATCAGTTTTGAACCAAAAATAATTTTGATTATTTATAAAAATCTATTTTCACTTTATTTTTGCTTTTACTTTATGTCTTGGCTTTTTCAATCTTTAACCATTTTCTTTTACACCAAATACATTTTCACGATTCGAGAACGCAAGGAGAGAGGACACAGGAAACCCGCTGAACGTCTTGGCGATGACTATGAGTGTTGTATTTTAAAGTTTATTTAAACAATTCGTTTCTCAAAAAAAAGAAGAAAACAGAAAGAAAATTTCTTATATAATTTCTATTTACTTCAATCTCGACGCTTCGATGGTGCTTGTATGTGTTCCTACTAGCCTGAGACTGAATCTTTCAATTTATTTATAGAAAAACACACCGCGGCAGAGGCAGAAAAAAGTGTAACCCATGAAAAATCATTCCAAGTTTTCAACGCTTTTTCAGAAAGATTTTCTTCTTGACTTCTTTTCAATTTTTCACGATTTCGTTCTTTTACGCAACCATTCGAAATTACATACTACGTCGTGCAAATTAAAGCTGTCTAAAGTATTTATATGAAAATATATTGAAGGGATTTAGAAATCTTAAAATTTACTTCTTTGAACTGATTCATTGTCACCTGTTCGGATGATGAATCTTAAAAATTTATTAGCTATTTAGTTGATTCAACTGCCATTTTGTTTGTAACTTTCTTTCATTTTTCCTTTTTGTATTGCTTGTAGATTTTACATTACCGCTATATACATTCGTAAAGGCGAACGTCTGAAAACGTATAAGTAAGAAATTTTCCTCTTAGAAAGACTTTTTGGCATGCTTCCAGAATTTGAAGCAATAAAAAATAAAATAAACGCCATTTTTTGTGTTGAATCACGATCATCATCATCTATGTGCTTCATGTACAGAAATCTCTTAGCAAAACATTTCAGCTTTTGTATGATTTGGAATAAAATTTCGTCTCGCACCTCGTTGAAACTGAACTGATCACCTTAAAGTGATAGAATTGTCATCTTGTAAATTAAAAATGATCTTAAAACTTTTTCAACAATCGTAGGGTTATCGCGTCAGCACGTGCTGCTTCTATTATTAGTGACGATCTCTTTTTTTTCTTTTTACATGAGAAAAATTTTCCATGGCATGACTTTGTCTACAAGTTAGAAACAAATTTCGAGAATAAATTGAAATCTTTTTAAATATTCAGATGTTCGTTCAGCGATGCATGCAAAAAAAAGTTAATAGAAGTATGAAATGTCATTTTCAAATTTAATCGACGACCCTTCAATTCTTTGTCATTATTTTAACCATGAAAGTCGCTGTCGGTTGGCATCCACTAAATTTCCTGCTTTTTATTACAGATTTTTGCATGTGGTGCCTTTAATGTGTATTCCGTTTGACACATTGCTTCGAAAGAAATAAAGATGTGTTGTTTTGGCATGACAGACGCGTGCCATATGGTTTTCTCTTAAGACGAATAAAAACTGCGATAGCTCATTTACTTCATTCGAATACTTTTTGTTTCTTGCTACTCTCTTTCTTCAACTCCATGTTAGAGCAGGTGTAAGCTTATTCACCATAACATGATGCCTCACGAAAGAACATCTTTTCAAAAACTTATGATTCATGCGAAAAAATTAAATGATTACATTAGTCAAGCATACTCACAGTTTAAAGTTTTTGAAATATTGGTAGCGCCTGGAAGAATAAACGAGAGAAAAAATTATTTAGAAGGTTTTATTCAGATTGAAAAATAATTTAGTATGGAATGAAATCTTTCTCAACTTTCACCGATGCATAATTAAGGAAAGGGAATTTTGAAATTTTTATTTTATGTTCTCAACCGCAGCTGGAGAGAATAAATTCATTTGAATCACTTACAATCAAAATCTCAACATCACTGAAAATACCGAGGGAGATGTTCTGAGATTGAGTGTTGAGTGGGGCCAGTGAATAATTCTGATTCTTTTAAGAATGACAATAACCATGTTTAATGATAACGAGGTACAAAAAATGAACTTCAAGTAGGCATCAGTAAACAATCTATTCATTTATCTTGAAGCGTCGTACAATTTTTGGAAAATCCCATTAATATGTATACAATATCTTATCAAGAAAATAAGAAAAAATATCGATAACTCCTTTATTGCAATTAATAAATTACGAATAAGCATGCTTCTTTAAGGTACAAATCGGTGTTATCAAGAATTCCAAGTAATTTTCTTATCATAGCTTTACAAAAGATGACGTATTTTCTCCATGATTTTATTCCTAGGTATGTCTAAAGAAAACGTCATATGGTTTCATTGGAGAATATTTTCTATAATTATTGTAATCTATCATACTTCAATCTAAAAATATTTTGTCACGTTTCTTCTATTTGTCACTGAACTTGATTTCATTGATTCTTATCGCAAGCAAAAGTTTGTTTTGTTTTAGTAATAATCAGCTTCAAAAACAACCTTTAACCGGGCTTCAAACAAGATTCAACATCAACTGTTGAAAATATGTCGCTTTTCTTGTTTAATGGAAAATTTTTGAAAGAATTGAGTGTTTTTTTTTTCAAAGTCATATAAAAAGCAAGATGATCGTGTCGATGATCAACGAGTTGATCTTCGAGATGAAAGTTGGATCAAGATTATTTTTTAAAAAAAGATTTACCGTTGAATCGTAGCATTAAAGTTAGACATAGCAGAAGAGGTCGCTGTTTCAAAATATTTAAAACAGTTAAATCTAACAACTTCGAAGTTTAACTCGATAACTATTCTTTTCACAATGAATTCTTCAATCGGGAACAAGTTTATTTATAACATTTTATAATCATTGGCATCATATTGACTTTCCTTTTAAATATTCGCGCACTATCAAACAATTCAATTAAATTCTGTTTTTAACTATTTGATGCTTGATTAGCGAACTCTTATCCTTAACTTTTATATTTTCATTTATAAATTATTTATGTCATGCACGGATGCATAACACTAAGAAAATTCTGAATCTTGATTTCTTGAGTGTTTGTCCTATATCAGCTTTTGTTCTTTTCTCTTTGCATTATTTCAATTTTTCTTTTCACTTTCATCATACATTTTTTAACACTTTCTCTTAGATGCTAATCAGAATTCAATCAATTGATATTAAAACACTACAGCGAGGAAAAATCAATGTTTCGTACTAAGCATTTCAATTGTAACTGAATGAAGTTTTCTTCACATCTTTAACTCTTAGACTTACAAAAAGAATATTTATAAAATTTTTACAAATTTAGTGTTCGGTTAAAAATAATTTCTCATCTTTTATTTTTGAATCCTCTTTTTCAGTTTGAATTTTCAAGTGAGATACAGCAGAAAAAGTTTATAAAAAGACTTTTCTCTATTGCTGAAGCATTTTGCTATTTATATAACAGAGAAATTAGTATATTTAACCATCGTTTTTAAAGAGATTTTTGTTTATATTGAATTCAGAATAAAAGGGAAGTTCGATTGATGTCTGAAAGAAAATACAAGTGCTTTTCTTATTCTGTCATTTTCTGTATACCATTGATTCTATTTATGCTAGAAATTGAAACACTTTGTAGCCTTATTTTTTTTTTTGCTAAAAGCCATTGATCTTCTTAAATCAAAACATTCGACAATATTTCAACTGTTTAAGTGAAAAACGAGAAGGCATAATCAAAATGCTGCTTAGCTAATAATAAATGTTTTTCCAATACGAAAATCAAATTTATGAACGAACATCGTAACCGAGCAACAACTACGTCAGAGTGGAAAAATATCTTTTTCATTTCCCATGCTCAAAATGCTTTTGTCTCTCGAAAATTAATTTAAACATATAAATATTAACAATTTGTCTTATTTTTCTCATTTTAATTAACTTTTGAAAGCAATACTACATGATAGCAGCTATAAAAAGTTTGCTATTATTGCTCACATGTGTACAAGAAATACTAAGACAGATTTTAACTTCTTATCTGATACAGTAGATAATACTTTCGTAATATAATATCTTCTCTTTTTATCATTTTCCGTTGCATAGTTACGAGAAATTGACGTGAACCAGTTGAGGAAAATTAAGGTAACACAAGCGGAAAAGCATTGCTTGGTTTCAAGACAATAAATGCTTCAAGAACATGTATTCGAAAAACGTTGAGAAGCAAACAAATTTGTTTTGAATACATTTATTAGCTTGTTGATTACCACTTGGATGCCTGTTTGTCATGAAATTGAACTTGCAACCAAATTGCCTTCAAAAATTATTTTTTAATGTTTTTTTTTCTACAATCTCAACAACGTTGTTATCATTATTTTTTAATTTTTCAAATGAAATGTACTTACCCTCAAGACATCGTACGGTATTAATTTCATCATTACTGAAGACTTTGACAACACAAGTGCCTGGAAATGGAAAATAAAATCGATGCCATTATTACCTAGATCACAAAAGTCCTTTAATTTTTATTAAATAAGAATAAAGAGATTTTTTTCTTCCAATACGACAAGACAATCGATATTTGAAATTTTTCTTTCTTTTTTTTGCAGCTACCGATGCAATAACAAGTTTGTTACCGAAAACGTCACACTACACTAAGAAACGAGTTCCTAAGGGTTTACATTTTTTGGTATTAATTGATAACATTATCATTATCTATCGTACGCTTTTTTCTTTCATTAAGTCTTATGAATGCAAAAAATTATATTTATGTAAAAAGCACTTGTTTAAATATTTGTTTATCTTTTTCTTTTTTTTGAAATTATGATGCTTATAAGCCAGTCAGTTAAAAGAACACATAAAAGAAGCAACAAAAATGTATTCATGATGATGTCACACTCTGTCACCAACACAAAAACAACAATAAAGCTTCAGAGAATATGCTTTATGATGTCATAAACATTTTCTTCCTTAATTCATAACAATATTCTGCATTTTTTTTACACAACGATCCTTTTTCCAATTAAATTTGTCTTCCTGCTTATCTGGTTATCGCTTCTAGAGACTTTACATTTCAAGCCACTAACATCGACCTTGGAAAACATCAAGCAACAAGTCTTGTATACATATATATATGCAAATTAGGAATAGGGAAAACACTTAACAAACGGACGCAGTCATATTTATATTTCACCTTTTTAAAAACATTCTTATTAAAATGAAACAAATAGAGAAGAAGCACTACTAGCAGCTTGTCATGTTGCTTATGCTGAACATTAGTCGACTGACTTAGATTCTTCAACAACACTTTGTTCAAACTATGATAATCTTCCCTAAATACATACACATACAGAAGCATTTTCGCACATTTTTCAAAAAACAATTTTTCATCGTATCAAAAATGCATTAACTTATATTTTCCATGTCATACGGCTAACAAATATGCCTTGATTTACTTTTGATGACGTACCTTACAAAATTTCTATCTCTTTATAATGAAACCACTTGAATTCTTATAAGATTTATTTTTTCCTCCTCATCAATTTTATCAAATTGAATCAACTTCGGCACAACGTTTCAAACTCATGTGAAGCTGTCATCCAATTTTGGAATTTTTTTATCAAAATTTTTGGATTCTGGTAAATTATATTAATTCCATGATAATATATTTGTACAAGAAGAAAGCATTGTCCAATCTCTTATAAGCTACTAAGTGATAACATTTGTGATGTCTTCAATTCATTTTTTTAAACATTTTAAATGTTTATTTAGGTAGTGCTGAATACTTAACTCTGGTTTTGTAGCTTTTTGTCATTTTTTATTTATTCATTCCACTAAGTCACTGTTTTGTTTTGCCAGAAAGCTTTCTTATCATTTAACAATACAATAAGTTTATTCCTTAAGTGAAGATTACATAGTGAAATAAAATGATGCGTCGCCCTCAAAATTACGGATATGAACCTGTGCCCCAAAATCAAAGTGATGACTTGGAAATTGAAAACGAGATGCTGGCTGATGACTTGAAAAATAAAATATCAAATTTAAAAAGTCTAACAATTGATATAGGTACATTTGTATTTCATTCGAATTAAAATAGTTTAGTTTAATATTGTCTAAATATTATTTTAGGTAATGAAGTTCGCTATCAGGACAAGATTCTAAATGATCTGGATGACGATATGAACAGAACTGGAGGTTTTATGCAAAATACAATTGGAAGAGTCGTGAGGTTGAGTAAACATCGTAAAGGTTACACATGTTACATGCTTTTATTTGCTCTTTTAGTATTTTTGATACTTTATGTTGTACTAAAATTCAAATAAAAATCAATATTTAGAATATTGTTAATTTACTTTTATCTTTTCTCATACTCTGTTCTTTGTTCACATCTGATAATTGTCTCTCAAGATCTCTTATTTCATTTTGTTTACTGGTGATTTGTTTTTGAATATTCTTTGAAGCAATTGAATCGCCTTTGTGCCTATTAAGTGATTCTTTAAGCTGACTTAAAGATTTGATAACTTTTTTAATTTCTTCCTCAATTTTGAAGTTTTTAATATTTAACTGTGCCGCTGATTGAGTTTTAACTTCGAAACCTTCTTTTTTGCTATTTCCAGGAGTTGGTGAATTTATGCTTCCAATAGTGTTAATGAAATCAAAAACGTCATTTCCCCTGTTTTGAATTCTTTCGTTTCGCTTTTGGTGTTTTAAACTTTGCCGTCTTAATTTCTCTTCGACAGTTTTCTGACCTTTGTTCTCATTATGTTCCATATTAAAATCTAGTGATTTTCCAGGAATATACATTTTTGCTGATACTGGTTGAGTAATTCCATCGCTGTTTTTTCCTAATCCTTGTCCATTTATGAATCCAAGTTTAGCTAACATTTTTGTTCCAAAACCTATTGTATACTTTTCCCATTCTCCAAAATTGTCTTCGATTATGAAAACGGATGAAGATTGAAATTTACCACTTTCTTCGTCGCTATCATCAGATGACAAGTCCGAAGAATCAGAATCGTTATCCAAGGGAGGTAAAATATCAGAATATGAACAATTTTCAACCACTTTTCCTCCATTCTGCATTTTCACTCGACATGTTCTTGAATCTTCATTGCACTCCATAATTATTCCAGGTTTCCAAAGACCTGCTTCTGTTTTTATCAATGCATGACATCCTTTCTTCAAGAGTGAATAATTTGAGGAATGATATGGTTTAAGATCTGAATAAGGAAGAAGTGTCCCATGCGAATATCTGCAATTGTCTTCAAATGTACAGGTGTTTGAGAAAAAATAGTCACAAGCTTTCATTTTATCTTCCATAGGATTGAGGAAAAACACTTGGACAATAACATCTCCTTCAGATGTTTTATTCTTAACATCAGCAATAAAGGCATTGTAGTAATTTTCATTTTGTCCTTTCAATTTAAATGGAGCTCGACATTTTTCGTTTATTAAACTTTGAAATGTATTCTAAATTAAAGAAAATTTAGTTTTAATTACAGAATAAATCTGAATATGTAAACTTACTTTGAAGTCATCTAAATTTATATCAGATGTCTCTTCACTACTCAAGCTTTCTTGACTTTCTTCTTCTAAACATGCAAGTTGAATCAGTTCTGTTAAATCATTTTGTAAACTTTGTAAATTAATAAGATCTTCCTCGTTTTCACATTTTTTTAAAGCTTCTTTTATCTGCGAAAGTTGATGTTTATAAGCGCTAATCATACACGAATCTTGCTTTGTTGTCTCATTTAAATTAGACATATTTCCAATGGTGATTTCTGTTGCAGTTTTAATTCTTCTATTCCATTGATTGTTTTTATTTCAAACTTCAGCACTAAATTTTTGGTTCTCTCGAGAAAATGATTTAAAATCCCATCGTTGCCCGGTTTATGAGAAAACCTAGAAAATACGGCAATTCCAGCGGAGGGTATGCAATAAAACTTTCGTTTTTCCTTAATAACTCCTTAGTTAAACACTTTTTGGTTAGAAAGTTTTCGTCAAAAATATCCACTTCCAGGTCCTCTATCGACCGTCTGAACTTCCATAGAACTTAAAGTTCCTAATCACCGTCAACTTCACGCAGCACAATTGTAGTACTTTGATACCCTGATAACACAAACACATTTGTCGAATCGATGTGCTTACAATGTGTAAACTAATGTTGGTACAACTTAGATTGAAAACAAAGTGATGATGAAAATACGTGAAATTTATGCTTGATGATAAAAATTAAAATAAAGATAAAATAGTAAAATAATTTAATGAAATGAAAGTAGTGTGCTTAGTGTTTTTAATAGTTCTCAATTTTTCGGTTGGATTTGAGGAAAATTTTAAAGTAAAACGTCAAACGAAATTCATTCATTTTTAATTACGATTGATTTTTAATTCCAGGATTGTACTGAAGTTTCAAGGGCAGAGGAGCCTTTGCTTGTATTGTCTACCTTATCTGGATCTTTGATTGCAATAGACCCAGTGACTGGTGAGACAAGATGGACGCAAGAAGACGAACCTTCAGTAAGAGCAGACACAAATATTAACAACTACTCTTCGTCTGTTTACCTACCTGATCCCGTTTCTGGAAGTTTATATAAATTACAATCAGACGGAAATGAACTCAAAAAATTGCCTTATACAATTCCTGAGCTAGTGAATAAATCACCTTGTAAAAGCAGTGATGGAATTCTCTATTCTGGAAAAAAGTCCGACACTTGGTTCATGATTGATCCTAAAACTGGAAACAGAGAATTTGTGATGGGTAAAAACTTTATAAATTTATTAAATATCTATCGAAATTAATAATCTTTTACGTATAAATAGGATTTGGATCAAAACCTAAAATTTCTGAAAGAGAGTCGATTGGATTTGCAACATCGCGTGCAGTTTATCTGGGAAGAACACAATACACAGTGCTTATGTATGACAGTATGTCAAAGGAATCAAGTAAGCCATGGAATATCACATTCTACGACTACACTTCTCACACAATGGATCCTGAAATATCTCAAAAATATGAATTTATTCATGTTACAAGCAGTACATCTGGAAAAATTGTAACAATAGACAGAAAAACTGGAGGATTTCTTTGGGAAAGACTTGATATCAAATCACCTATCGTGTCTGTATTTCTTCTTAGTCGTGACGGATTCCTAAGCGTTCCATTTACGCCTGTTGCCGAAGAAGTTATTGGAAAAGTTATTGATTACAGCAAAAGTGACGGAAAGAGTGACTTCAAATTGTAGTAAGTTGTCACTGATGTAATTATAACTATTAATTTATCTATCTAAGTATATATTCCGTAATAAGACGCATAAGTTTTTTTTAACTTTTCCCACGCTTAGAAACATGTCAAATTCATTAATAATTAATTTAACTAAATGTGATTGTTTTAAATTTACAGTGAAACAGTTTTTGTTGGAGAAAGCAAGGGTGGTTTATTTAAGAGTGATACGCTTTATGCAATTCACTCTTATGTCGATGACAATACGCCAACAATAAAACAAAATTCTATGAATCTCTTGGAAGGCCCGAATGTAAAGACGAATGAAAATGATAATAAAAAGCCAGCAAAATCGAACAAAAGAAACTACATAATCTTTGGTCATTATGACAAACCCACGATTGAATCAATGTTCGATACAATTGAGTCACAAAAGTCTGGCGATAAACAACTCTCAGTTGATTCAGATAATAGCGTTTGGTACGTTAAAGATACAAGCAAATTACCAAACCAAGACAAAATAATAATTCCTGATCATAACTCTGAAAAGAAAGCGAACAATAATATTTCAGAGAAGAACAAGCATGAGGAGATAATCGAAACCAAACGGAAGTACGGTTTGTTAAAAACATTGACAGTAAATTTCAAAAACTGGTTCGATAATGAAGAGAACAAAGTTTTGAAGCTTCTAATGGTGATTTTAATTGGAATTGTTATCACAATGTTCTGGTATTTCCATACGACTGTACGTCAATTACGTGAACAATCACAAAATGGATCGAAAACATTAATACCAAACTCATCAGATAGTAAAGGCAGTTACGGTGTAGAATCACTGAATACTGGTGAGTTTTATATTTTTAAATATTAGTCAATTAAAAAATGGAAAAATGTTAGGTAATAGATGTTCGTTGGAAGATAAGCAATCACTAACTGTGGCTCTGTAGTGATTAATTCTTTCCAGATATTTATTACGAAATGCTCTGAAAATGAACATAAATTAACAAAAAAGCAGACACTTTCAAAACAACTTAGAACTTCATATCGAAAAACGCAATATTCACTATAAAGTCTGTTGACAAGCTGATAACATCATAAATCAATGTTTAAAGAAAAGATATCACAGAAAATCTCATAAACTCTCGTAATTTGATAAGAAAATATTGAACGCAGAAAAAATTGGGAATTATTTAGATGAACTTGAAGGAAAATTCTTATCAACATATAATATGATCAGAATTTTAATGTAAATTTCTATTTTTCAGCAGGTGAATTAATAGAAGTTGGAAAAATCACATTTAATCCACAAAATGTCCTCGGAAAGGGATGTGAAGGAACTTTTGTATTCAAGGGAACATTTGAGAAAAGAGATGTTGCGGTAAAGAGGTTATTGCCTGATTGCTTTACTTTAGCCGATCGAGAAGTTAGTTTATTGAGAGAATCTGATACGCATGAGAATGTCGTACGATATTTTTGTACAGAAAGTGATCGACAATTTCGATATATTGCTGTGGAACTTTGTGCTGCTACTCTTCAAGATTACATCGAAGGAAAGAACTCCAGCCAATTAAAGCAACTAATTAGTGTAAAAGAAGTTCTTTATCAAGCCACAAATGGTCTCTCACATCTTCATCATTTGAATATCGTTCATCGTGACATAAAACCGGCGAATGTTCTCATTTCATTACCTGATAAGAAAAATCGTGTCAGAGCGCTGATATCTGATTTCGGACTGTGTAAAAAAATGAACATTGGAAAATCTTCTTTCTCGAAACGTTCAGGAGTAACTGGCACTGATGGTTGGATTGCACCAGAAATGATCAAAGGCCATAGAACGGTAACTCAATTTTAATTATTATTAAAAATTATTTCTAATTTTCTTTAATGTTTTTAGACAATTGCTGTTGATATTTTTTCTATGGGTTGTGTTTATTATTATGTGTTATCAAACGGTGATCATTTATTTGGTGATGCAATCAAACGACAAGCTAATATCTTGTCACACGAATTTGACATGACTAAACTCATGTCACAAAAGAAAAAACCTTATGAAAATATTCTTGCAAAAGAACTGATAACTGATATGATTAGAAACGAAGCATCACAACGACCAAGTTGTGATGCTGTGTTGAAGCATCCTTTGTTTTGGAGAGAAGAGAAAATTTTGGGTTTTCTTCAAGATGTCTCAGATAGAATTGAAAAATTAGATGTTTATACAGATCCACTGAGAACCTTAGAGAAAAATGCAAAAGTTATTGTTCGTGATGATTGGAGTCTTCATGTTGATGAAAGCATAACGGAAGACTTGAGAAGATATCGCGGTTATCTTGGCATAAGTGTCCGAGATTTGCTTAGAGCTTTAAGAAATAAGAAGCATCACTATCATGAGTTATCAGCTGATGCACAAAGAGTACTTGGAACAATTCCCAGTGACTTCGTTAAATATTGGATAACACTTTTTCCTTATCTGCTATCACACAGCTATCATGCAATGGAATTATGTTCTAAGGAGAATATTTTTAAAAGATATTACAGTCCTTTATATGTTTTCACTAAGCCCGACTACATCAAAGATGAAAATTATGATAACATCGAACTTCGTGATATTTTTGATGCAAATTGTTTGAATTATAATAAAAGTCCTAAAAAAGAAAATCGTCAACCAGTCAACAATAACCAAAATAAAATTGAAAAATCTAAGCGAGGTTCTTACAATTTTCTCACGCCTGCTGTAACAAATGGTGGAGCTTCGAATGGAGTATTCATAACAAGACAAGACATGCTTGTCCCTGAGAAGTCACAAAAAGGAGCAGAAAAGCGTCGAAAAAAGACGGCAGAAGAAAAAATCGTCTGGACGCTGCCAAACTGAATTTTATTTGATAAAATTAAAATGATTTTTTATTTCGATATCTTTGAACAAGAATCAAAAGCTATAACAATTTAATGTTTAAACTAAAAAGTATTCTTTTTAAACTCCTTAATAGATGTTATCTTTTACAAATTTCACTATGATTAAACTTAATAATAATTTGTGTAATTATTTAGGACACATAAATATTTTTTTAAAAGTGATACACACAAAAAGACGTCAGAAAGAAGCTTGAAAAATTATGTAATGATAATTAATGTTTAATTAATAAATTTTATATCTGTCACTTGGAATTTAAATTTGTTTTAGGAAAGCTCGTAACTTGAAGGTGCCGAAGTTGAAGTAAGAACTTCGAATCTTCATTCTTTGTTGTTTTCCTTCGACCAAAAGCAAAATTTGCGTAAATCCTAATTTTTCTTTTTTTCAAAGAAATCAATGGTGCTAAATGTTATCAAATTGTGTAGTCATTACAGTGAATTTCACCCTTTTCTAATCGTTTGATTTTTATTCCATTAAAAATAAAGTTTTAATTCAAGTCAAGAATTTAAAATAAAAATGAGTTCATTGAATTCAAATTACGGAACAATACACCAGCCTAGCAGTAGCGGATCAAGTAGTTTTTCACCTACAGAATTCCTTATTTTAAAAGAATCCATTTCTAATAATATAATTGTGATTAAGAAACAGTATCATAAACTCGAGAAAATTCAGAAAATTATTGGGAGCAAGAATGATACAAACGAGTTGCGAGCAAAAATGTAAGTTATATTTGATTAGTCATTGAGAGTTATAATGTAAATTGAATTTTTCCTTTATCTTTTAGTCAGAGTATCCAAAAGAATGCGCATGATGTGATCAAAAGTACATCGTTTGACATCAAAAAATTAAATTCAATTGTTAAGTTCTCTTCAACTGAGAAAACCCATCAGTTGGTTTTAGAGAAAATTGCATCTGAATTCCATGCGATTGTTCAAAAATATCTTCAATCTGAGAAATCTCTATCGTTGAAACTGAAGAAAACATTGTTGGTGAACATAAACAACGATGATAGCGACGATGAAGATGTTACAGCATCTATTCAACAAAAACAACTTACGCAGGCGAACTATAATTTCGAGAAAGAACTTCTGGTTGAACGTGAGGAACAATTTCAAAAAATCGAAACAAATGTCATCGATATCAATCAAATAATGAGCGAAATTTCCACTCTCATACATGGTACGTAAGAATGATTCAGTTAATGACGTAATTATGAATCACATGATTTATTTTCTCATTCGTTTAATAAACTTGATAACTTACACTCTTATTATTAACATTTTAGAACAAGGAGAAAACATTCAAACAATCGATAATTCTATATCGCATGTTGCAGAAGACATTGAGGGTGGAGTAAGTGAGCTTCAGAAAGCAGCGAACCATCAGCAGAAATTTAGAAGAAAAGTGCTCATCATAGCTTTAATTGCGCTTATTGTGGCGATATTTGTTGTTTTTTCGCTTTATTCTAAGTTAAAAAAATGATTATTTCCAAAAATTATAAACCGCTATATGCCGTCATAATTAATTATTATTATCTTTAGTAATTAAAGTCAACATTAAAATATTTTAAAAAATCAATCCTACATTGTTATTGCTTATAGAAAATCAGAAAACAATAAAAATTAGATCAAAATCTCTAATCTAGTATTTAATTTGATTTATGGTTTTGAAGTGTTGTTCATTTGGGGAAATTTGAAATTCAAGTTGATATTATTGACATTTTAGTGACGTGTATATTTTTCTTATCACAAAAAAGCTTTCAAGAAAAGAAATCTGTGTTACTTAAGAAGGTACATATAAATATTTATATTGAATAAACTTCTAATAAAATCTTTAAGTCATAAATCTATTCGGAACTTGCTAATTTCAGCATAAAAACATTTTTTCAACGTTGAATTCTCGTTACATAAAGTTGTCGCTTTAGGCTAAATGGTGACATGCAATAAACTAGAGCTTTTAATTAATTCGGTAATAATAGTTTATTGAAAAAAAATATATGTCAAAAAGTTGAAATATAAAAATCTTAATATTGATTTTATTTCCTTAACTTTATTAAGAAATATTAACAACTGAAAATATTAACATGAAATAAATCATCGCATGTTTTCATTAAAACTTTTCTTGAGAAAAGTTTTTTCTCTTTTTTGAAAATTAAGCAAGGGGTAAACCAACAGAAATATTTGTGGAAGAAGCACAATTTTGCTGTGAAGCTCTATAGGTAATAAAAGAAAACTCTTGAAAACAGCAAGCAATTTCTTGGAAAATGAACAAACTTTTTGAAAATGCACAAATTTTTCCGAAAACACCATCTGGCAAGAGTGGGATAAGCACTACGTTGGTTCGCCCCTTGAAACCAAGAATATGAGAGAAAGAGAGCCGAGAGAAATGTGCTTGACGCTGATCATAAATTTTTTTAAATTTTAGTTTGTTTTGGAGAGCCCAGGTATAAAGATCAGTTTCCACCTAATTTGTGTTTAATTATATGTACCCGAAAAGAAAAACTACAAATAAAATAATGTTTCTGTAATTGAATGATCTAATTTTTGATATTAAATAACACTTAAACTAAAACTGGAGAATTTTAAAGTGAGTTATGAAGAGATAAATATTCAAGTGAAAAAATAAGAAACAAAAAACAAGAAAAATCATGGAGACCTTTTTGCAAAGTAAGGAAATTAAAATTCCCAAACCATTAGTAAAATCAAATAAAATGTCACCTTCGAAAATTGAATTCAAAAGTTCGTTCGCTCGATCACTTTCTTATAATTGTAATTACCATGAAAACCACAATGAAGAATCGAAATCGTTAGATTTTGAAATCAATCTTAGTCAGTGCCCTGATCAGTGCAATGGAACAGAAAGCGATAATGCATGTTGTGATGAAAATGGTCAAAAATTAACCAGCTCAGATGAAAATTTAGGTATCGGCAATTTCATCGAAAGTTTTAATAAATCCGATGAAGATAAAGAGAGGCAATTGTGGTCTAAGCGACAGCATCAACAGGTAAGAAAATATTTTTGGACCGACCACATTGACCCAATTTCTTTTTTGTAAATTATCTTTCACTTTGTTTTCTGACCCTCATAAAAAGAGTAAACACCTTTAATCCCAAATATGTAATATTGCTTCAATAACATGACAAAAGGGATAGAGAAATTGTAGGAAAATCACAATAATTTATCAATTTTCAACAGATTTCAAGTGACAGTCACCATAACTCTAGCGATGCTGAAATTTTTCGACTCAGAAAGGTAATTATAACTTTTTCTTTTAGAAATAGTATTTTTTATATAAATAGTACATAACGTCCTTGACATGTCCATTCCTTTTTACCATTACTTGAGTTTCACATAATTATTCTGTGCCATCGATACACAAAAGACGCTGTCAGCAGCAAAAAAAACTATGTAATTGGAAATTGAAAAATAACTTTTATAAACCTTTCAAAATCATATCAAATTGTTCAATTATAAATGACCGTTCAAAAATATAAATTCCACTACAAGCTCAATTCGTTGTTCAGTTATTTCTTCCCACTTCATGCAAAAGCCAAAAAGTTGCGGCAAAGCGACAGGAAGCTAAGAGGAAAAAAAGTTTTATTATTATAATTTTTTTTTATTATAAAGTAATGGATTCTTTTCATATTTGGGGGCACAGTTTCATGTTATGCTCCGGGTTATGCATGCGCTTTGTCATTAAAATTCAAATTGCATAAAATTGAGCATTGGAAACATTATGCTTGATGCGTAAAATGTTATATTCTTGTCGGAAATCAGAGTGCTGTTTGTCATTGAATTCTTCATTGTTGCATTTAGAGAATGGATTTAAAAATGTTTGGTGCAGCCTTTTATTTAGATTTCTTAATGTTGCCAACATATTTATTTTCTCGAATGATAACTTTTGCAAAGACGTGCTAAGCTTGAAAATTTATTAAATGAGGAAACTTATAATGTAATTTAACAAGTCCAACAATATCTGTAAGATGATTTGTGAAATAATTGAAAATATTTATGTTAAAAATGCAAATGATTTAATCTGTTAAAAATCAACAAATCCATTCTCTTTTTCATGTAATTCCTTCGTCTGTAAATATCAAGTTTACCTATGATGAAGTAAAAAAAATATAATTATCTACTGCTATAATTCAATGTTTTTCTGTTATTTTTCGTTATTGCTTGCTAAGAAATGATCTCTCATAAAAAAAGGGGTTTGGCGATATAAAATGTTGGAATACTACGGTTTTAATAAATAATAAGATTTGGGATTATTCATTAGTTTTGAATGTTGGACGTTTATTAATCCATTGTTCGTCATTTCTTTCCGCAATCGATTATTAACTTAGCACTGAATGGAATCTCCATTACAACCAATTAAGATTATGAACAAAGTTGTGATGCAATGAAAGCTTTTATGGAGTGACAATATAAATATGTTCACATGTAAAGTCAATCAAATCATAGAAAATATTATAGACACATGTATTTCTGTTTGTTGCCACGTTTCCGCGTAGTTCGTCGACTTTTGATTGGATTTGCAATGCATTTAAATCGATGTGTTATGAATTATAATTGAAACAAAAGCATATGGTACATCGATTTGTATAGGATGTGTGTTGATCATTTACGGAAAGATTCCTAGTCGGTTCGCCACACATAATTGCCCCGTCATATAAGAAGTGAGAAGAAAGAAAATAACACTCGGCAATTTGATGCATATTTACGCTACATCGTGGTGCAGATCGCGCGCATTTCTTTTACATCTCATGTAAAACCAACGCAAACGAGACTTGCATCCCGAGTAAGTTTTATATTTTATGTTTCTGTCGGCGTTTCATTTTATTAGATATAAAAGTATCTGCGAATAAATATTCAAGCGCCAGATGGAAGCAGTTTGCATGATCATTTGCATTGAAAAATTCACCTTAAAAAGTAATAGTAACAGTATATGAATAACTAAACAAAAAACAGCATTCTTCTCACTGTATTTGCTTAAAAGTTCACGCTATGCAGTTCATTTGAAAATCGTAATCTCACTCTATTCTTTCTTTACTACTTTCTAAAGAAGAAAAACATTTTCACTAAACAATATGATCAGAGTGTGATTGACGCAACGATGAGTTTTCATAGATTTCCATGTGAAATGTTCAAAGAATGCACACAAAAGAGAACACAATAGATAAAAATAAAAATAAAAACTATAAATTCAGACTCAAACATGAGCAAATCTTTTATGGGAAAAGTCATTTCACTGAAGACAATTAAAAACTTGTTGCTTGGTATAATTTGTAACTGCTTGGTGTTGAAGTTGTGTTTGAATTTATTACATCATGAAAGTTATGACAATGTCAGATGTATTAAAGTTTTAATTCAGAATTTGCAATGATATGAGATGAAAATCTTCCTTCTTCGTTTGGTATTTAAGTCAGCATTTCATGAGAATTAAAATTATCTACGAGAACTTTAAAGTTTAAACTCATCTTAAATTTTGCAAAACTGAAAAGCAGCAATTACTTTGCTTATTCATCTGTTGTATAAATTGTTAAACTAGAATCTGTGTCAATACCAAATAAAATTAGAATTAAAATGTTTCACGAAAATATCTTCGTTGCCACGTCATAAAAGGAAGTCCTATCAGTAATTACTAATTATTCTATTGTCTTGCGAATAAAAGTCAAGTCACGTTTTTTCTTTTCTTTTCCAAATCTAATGCGATTAATCTTCACTAAGTTTAAAGTTGTAGTTTGAAACGTTAAAGTTAGTATGATGAAGAAAACTAACAAATGAACTTAAGACTGGAACACTTGACGTTGTCACGTGAAGGAAAACGATGTAAGGAAATAAAAAGAAAATCTTTTATTTTAAAATAGACACATGTAAAGTTTTTGCATTGATGAGTTCATCCACTGTGACATTGTTAACGGTGACTATTAAAAAGTTCTTTAGTAAGGTCTAAAAACTTTTGCAGATTCTCACAACTGAATAAAAATAATAACACTTTTCAACAATACAATTTACGAAATGAACGATTTCCTGCGTTGAAAATTCACATGAGCAGCAGCTTTTTTTTATTCTCTCCAATGCGATACAGTTAGATAGTAACTTGTAGTGTGTGATTCATCTTCTACTTCAAAAAGCCATTGTTCTTTTAGAGGGAGGGAAATGGAATGCTTTAAATAGCAAGAACATTTCTTCATTATTACTTTTCCACCTTTCAGAAAAAGAAAAAGAAGTTTGCAGCTTGATGAATGTTTGCATTAAATTATTCAACTCTTTAAAGTAAATCAGCGCCCATGCATGAAAAAATTCACATCATTGCTCTTTATTCAGCACCAAGTAGAAATAAAGAAATGTTCCTTTAATAAATCTCATCCATAGAAATTTCTGCCTTCTGATTTTTTCTTCTTGTTTTTGTAATTTGTGTTGTGAAATAACACGTCTCTCAATCTTTGTAAGAAGTAGCACATTGTTTAGGCGAGAAAGTGTTTTCTTTCTTTTTTCCGAATCTGTCTAGAAATAATTTATTCCGAAAGAAATTTTTGTTTCTTCTTTCAATTCCTACGCATCGATTGTGTATAGATTTTGTACAGACAATCAAATTCCTCAGTATTTGGTGTTAGATTTCTGCTGTTATAAATAGTTCGCTAAAACTTCTTTCATCAAATAAAAAACACCAAATCATCACTTTCCTTGAACTCAATCATCAATTCAACTGTTAAAACAAAATTTGAAAAAGAAAATTGCACGCTTTGCATTTTTAATATTCAGAAATATTTGTAAATTATGCAAGTTATTCAATTAACCGTCATTGACGCGTTGTCTAATAGCAAGCCAGACATATAGAAAGTGAACAATTTGCAAATACTGAAGAACCATCAGTACAAAACCTCAACATTTTATGAACGACCTATAAATATTTATGTCGATAGATGCCTAAGCAAGTCGTTATAATAAAAATTATCTATTTAGATATAAATTTTTTAATTCACTTTTCATGTTGTAATAAAAATTGCTTCAGCTTGCACTTAAAATTTGCTTATGACAAGTGCTGCTGTAAAGCATCGTTTGAAGACATTTCCGATGATGAACATATAATTTTAAAATATCAAAGTGATGATAAACATTTCCGAAGGTATTATACATGACATCATCAACCATGGCTTCGTTGGCAATTTAATGAAAAATAAAGCCGCCATAGAACTGTTTGTAAAAAGTACACATATTTTCATTAAAATAATAAAAAAAGAAAAAAAATTCACGCAAGAGCTATGAAGCATGAAGTTTCAGTATCCGCTCACATATCTCGGTAGTGGTTTTTCTACCTTTTAAGTTTGTTCTGTTACTGGTTTGTGTCGCATTAAATGAAAACCTTTTACATTTATTCTGCATACGAAGGTTTTATTTGCGTTGTTTCAGAATTTTCATATCTTAATAGTAATCAATAAAAAAAGATTTGGATTTACTGAAGTCTTCAAAAATCTTTGAAAATGAAATTCGTATCGTGTTGCAACTCAAGCAAAATAACGAGTAAAGCAGAAAAAAAAATTTTTTTCGTTGATTTCGAAGCTTTTTATGTCACAGCAAGTGAATCAATTGTAGCGGAACTGAAATAACAATAAAGCTCAATTCGGAGGATTTCTAAGACGCACAGAGTCGAACTGTTGAAGTTGAATATGATTAAAATTGATCTGCAAACTTTTTCATTACTGTTGAAAGCGAGTTAAAAAAAGAAATAATGAAAGTTATGTAAAGGTATCAATTGCTCTCAAGCAAGTATGAATCTGGGTTGAAAATTGTGATTTTTTTCATGTTTTCGTCATCATCTTTAAACGGCTTAGTTCCAATTAAAAGAAAGTTTTCTTTTCGAAAAATGACACCAAATTGCTAGTCATTATTGTTTTTGATTTTCCATCTATTTCTCTTCTTATCTTTTGAGCTTGTCTTTTATGGAAGCTTTTATACACTCATAGATAGAGTATTTAAATTAAAGAAATACCTAGATTGAATTTTGATTAAAACGATGCATAAAAATGTTAACATATTGAAAGTTCTTTTCTTTTTTACTCGTTTAACTTTTGTGCAACGAAATGCATCCAACAAGAAAATTATGTAAACAGAAATATTTAAACAATCTTGACATTTTTATTTACTTCTGTCTTTCAACTGCACTGATATTATTGCGCTATTAGCTTGTACGTTAAAAAGATAGGAGATGAAAGTATGAAGAAAGATGTTGATGACATTTTTTGTTAACATCTAATTAGATGAAAGAAACTGTTTTTCTTTTGTCAACTTCATGTGTCAGAGATTTGTCTTGATGACGCATTCTCAAAATTTAACGAATTCAAGGGCTTCGAAGCGTTAACCAACAACATAATCACTAAAAAGTAATTGGTGTTGAACTTTAGCTTTCCATGTTAAGCTCCAGAAAGAACGAAATGTTGAACTAGTTTTCCAGAAACTTTAGTTTATCGATTTTTTGAAATAAGTTTTTAAGCGGCATAGTTAGAAAACTTATTCGGAAGCAACCATCAAGAAGAAATTGTGAAACATGTTGCGACTGATTTTTAATTTTGTATGCAAACATTCATGGTCCCTGATACATAAATTTAAAATACCATAATTTTTAAAAAAGAATAAAAGTAATTTCAAGCGATTTTTTACATATTTTTTGTTTATTGCTAAAAAACTAAAGTTTCTCTATGAAACTCAATGGCATAAAAAACACATAAAAACTTTTAGACGTCGATTGAGAATTCATTGATTTTGAAACTTTCAACATACATGCATTACAATGACTTTTCAATTGCAGAATATTTAAATAATAATACAGATTGATACATTTCTGCTTGAAACTTTAATTTGTTGGAAAAACTTTATACGTTTTTCAGAGCGAGTGGAGAATCGAAATAAAATTTGTAATTCTGAGTTTCAAGTATAGAGACGAAAAGTCTCATCAACCTATTTTGATAGTACCGTAAAGAAAATATTCCTTCACAGTATTTTCATTCAATTCTGCTTTTAATCTCTACAGAAAAAAATCGATTCAAATCCAATTGACGATGTTAACATTATTAGCAGAGAAGCTCATGAAAAGCAGTTTTTATTTTCCATGTGCTTTACCTTCACGTCACAAACAATTTGAATACAGAAAAAGTCAAGGTTCGAAACATTTGTATACTAATAAGCCGGATAGGTAGAATTAAATTACATATCAGATTTTTGTAAACACTAATTGATAACTTTGCTTTAAATATTTGATAACGACTCATGTTCTTTTGCTGTTAAATAATGTCATGTCAACTGATATTTGTCTGGCTTTTATGGAAATAAATTTAACTGAATATAGTATTTTGAGCTAAAATACTTTTATAAATTCAGTAGACATTATCAAATTGTTATGCAATTCTTTCTTTTTAGTGTTTGGAAAATAAATATTTAGACGGACATATTGTAGATAAATATAAGAAGAAGAATAGAGAGAAACTGAAGAACAAACGACAAAATTGGGCGACTTCCAAATGCATTTTTAGAATGAAAATTGCCATCATAACGATTACATTTTATTTTTATTAGATGAGAAAATGTTCCTTTAGAAAATAATTCAGTGACAGTCGGTTGCGCTCATAAAGCGTGACAGCATGTCACACTTTTACATAAGCATACTGATATTGCTGATATGTTTTCTTTCCGAAAGCTTAATTTGAAGCTCATGTTCAATACAAGTACGAGACAGTTTTGATAATTTCACTTCTGATGAATTCGTTCCATCTCAGTTTGTCTGCGGAATGCTAATAATAAGTGATTCTTCTACAAACATATTTACATATGCGCAGCACAATATTTTTCCGCTTCGAAATTCTTGTCTTGAGTTATATTTAGCGAAAGTGAAGAAATAAAATTCTTAAAATTTATTCATGTCATTTTATGTTTTTTTTATGGCTTGTAGGAATGTCAGAATCTCATTGAGGAAAATCGGAGACTCCAATTAAATGGAAAGCATCCAATGAAAATATCTTCATTGCCTTTCAGCTCAGTGCAGCTTGATTGTAGTAGCGGCGTTGAAAATGTGGTGTTACAGACGAAAATTGAAACTCTGCAATGGCAGCTTAGGCAGGTATGTGACGGGAAATGCAATTACCTCTGTAGATCATGTAACAAATTATTTTAAATTTCAGGTGGAAAGTAGTCGACAAATGTATCGAGCGATTATGGAAGAAGTCGCACGATACTTGGAGAAATGCCATCTGAACTTTGAACTCCTACAGCAACGTGAAAAAGCTAGATTAATGGAGAGATCAAAAAGTATAACACATATTGCTAAAACTAAGATCACTGACACATCATTGGCGACTTGCGCAGTCAAAGATGCACGATCTCGAAGTAGCACTAATTTATTAAGTGTTAACACATTGACACCGCAAAGGCCACAAAAATCTGGAACACTTCTGAGTGATTTATCATACAGTGCTTTCAAAGATTTTACTTGGTAATTAAATTGTCACAACAACTCTGTTTAACATCATAATTAACGATTTCCTTTTAGGCGAAGAACACCAAAAAATAAAACAGTTAATTCGTCAGAACATAAACCGGAAAATGCTTTTAAAGAAATTCAAGCTCAACAATCATCACCGATTTTTGTGGGAAGCAAACAATGGAATAAAAATGAGCGAGAATTTGATGCTGAAAAATTGTCAAAAGAAGCTTTTCGACTTTCGAGGACCGTCCAAAATTTTCTTAACACTCATGAACCAATTTTAACACAAACCGAAAGTGCAACTGAAACCAACAGTTTTGAACGAACGACATCGGATCATCAACGAAATGATTTCTTATTTGGTTTTGATCGTGAATCTCATTCGTCACTTCGCAGCACTGATGAGTATTCGGTTCATTCGTCTTCAAATTCCTCAAATTCAAAAGAGGAAGAAGATCCAGCAATACTTCCGAATACATCGAGTAAAAAATTAAACAGTATTCTAACAAAATCCGCCACGAAATCCAAAAGATTTTCCACATGCCATCAAACTGAAGATGAGAGCGGCTTTAGCAGCATGAACTCTTTTCACGAAATCGGCTTGCCATTGCATTCAACAATGCTTTCCTTGAACACATCTATTTTATCAACCTCTGCCAATGAGTCAGCTTCAGACACTCTTACGTTTAAAAAGGATGAATTAAAGGATGATATAGGTTTACCGATGTCTCCAGCGACCAAACTACCAAACAACCACCGAAAATACGACTCAGCTCCAATCACTCAAATTTCAAAGATGAAAATTCTCGAGAATGATGAAAATTCAATGAAAGTTTTATGGGTCTAATTTGTAACTTAAAATTTGTGCTTATGCTTAACCAAAGCTTATGATCCCGAATAAGTTTATTGTCACCGAAACAGAAATTTCATGTTATTTAATGTTGTTTGTACACTTATATAATAAATTTCTGCTAAATTATTTAACCATTCTCTAACTTTTCATTTGGTAGAAAAAAATCTGTTTCGATCAAAGTAAAACATTGTTTAATTTGATATTTTAAGAAATAAAACACTTCACAAATCAAAACATTTCTATTTGTTTTTGTTTGCCAAATTTTCATTTCAAATTCTAAGCCTACGCAGAATAAAAAAATTTATAAACTTTCGAAAGTTTGAGCTTTTTTTTAACTGAAAATTTCAACATTGTCAGCGCTTTTTCAGCGGAGGCAACCTTACCTCTTGTTCATGTGACTTTTCTCGCTTTAAGCTAAGCTTTAATTGTTAAAAATTAGCCATTCGAAATGGTGTAACTAAAAGTTTTAAAGTGTTTTTGGATACATAAGTTGTTGATGAATCTGATAAGCAATAACTGAAATGATATCAATTCGAATTTCTAACAGAAACTAAGGAAAGAAAAATCGGATATTTTCTGACGAAAAAAAAGAAAACTAGTACGTCTTTAGCTGCGGTGTAGTAGATTGAGTAAGTGTGAGTGAAGATTTTGAGAATTTTTCCTTAAAGAATTAAAATATCTGTAAATATCTCATCTATACCACATAGCTTTCTCTTATATACTTTTAAATTTAAATTTGTTGACTTGCAAAGCTGCTATTGAACAGTTTAAATCACTCAATCAAACAGCAAATGTTAAATTACTTATGTGAGTTTTTCTTGTTTGATTTTCGCCTGAAAAAAAAAACGGAACGTATAGTTCTCCTTCATGAAAAAGTTTTTCTCGGTTGTGATAAATAATTTTTGTCGAAAGAAAATAATACAAAAGCACATTAAATGAAAAGTTTATATTGTTGTTGACGGTTTAATACAAGACTTGAACACTTGAAATCTCATGAAACATAGTGCAATAATTGAAATGTTGATAAGCCCTTCAATCCTTTAAAGAAGAAAAAGAAGTAAGAGAAAAATAAATTAATCAAAAAGCAAGAAATACAAAAAAAAATACGAAATTAGGTGTATCGATAAGCAACTCACTTGTTTGAGAAAAATTGAACTGTTCTCACCGTATAGTGCTGTTAATTCTTTTTTGAAACCAATTAAGACTATTACACTAAATATTGTTAACTAGTTGTTAAAGAAGCCTCATACAAACGTTATTCAAAATTAAGCAAAATTGAAAATCATGAGTGACAGAGCATCTTCACCGAATTTAATAGAGTCAGGATTGAATGGATTAAAATCATTAATTGGAGGTGGGCGAGATAATTATCCCCTTATAAGCGGGACGAATGGTAAGCATCAAATCTGTGAATTATTCAGAGTAGTTTTTATGTCTGTATTGTAGATAGAAAGATATTAGAATAGTGCCCGACTTTCCAAAGATTATCACAAGTGATAGCCTTTCCTTTTCTCGACAACGACAAGTATTCATTTATAAATTTGTTTTACAAAGGTCAAATCTATGTAGGCTTCTCATAATGCATCGCTAAGGGAAAAATTCTTCATTACTGACACTTCTTCTTTTTCTTCATGTCATATTACAACAAGTTTGCTTTTTTTATTTGCATTCGTAAAAGGAAGAATTCTGTTAATTAAATTATAAAGAAGAACTACGAAATCCGTTTCAAGGCCCAACTAAAAGTCAATAGTTCTATCTGACATGATTTACATGTGAAATGAATTTCCCATGCATAGTCTCATTACAACGCGAAATAATAAATATTTCTTGCAACGAACGAATTTTAAAAAATTCCTTTAAGGAAAATCGATACTTTTTATTTTTTTCACTCATGTGATCTCTCAGTTTATTTATATACACATAGAAAGACATCTACATGTGTATCTTTACTATACAACGTTTTAAACGTGGGCAGTAGTAGCATAAATCAGATGAACAATCATTTCTACGTCATACAAACTAGAGTCACGAGCAAAAAATAAACAAAATAAAAATTTTAATGATAAGTACAGGAGTACACATTGACAAATTGGAGTTTAGATGTTTTCGAAATTGAAGAAAATCATTCAAATGTTAAATAAAAAATTTCCCATGTTTGTTGGTGTTCGTTCACTGTTTGCTGTACTAGATTCCGTTGTAGTTGAAAATTGCATTATCGATTTTCGTTTTTCGCACTTCAAGCTCCAACAATTCAGCGAACGATATTTTTTTTAAAAATAGATTTTCCTAAATCATTTTTCTTTTTGGCCAAAAGCTGTTTCAATGTTTTTCTTATTCTCATTGACTTTGACTAGAAACTAATCCAAAAATTCCTTACACGAAGGTACAACAATTCGGGAAAAAGCGTTTCTTAATTTTCGGATTTGTTTTTGTCAATGCTGCCGATGATAAAAATAGATGAAAATTTCAAAATGAAAAAAAAAGAAAAGAATTATGAATAATAAGATCAGCCAGCGTCTTTTACACAGCAGAAGTATACAAATTTTAACTATAATTATATTTCTTAATACTTGTTTTGAACACGTCAACACACACATTGAGACCGGAGATTTATTTGTATCACATGAGAATCATCTATGAAATTAATAAAGATTAGATAATTTTATTAAGCCGCAGCTAGACTCTTATCAGCTTAAACCATCAATACTGCATAGTCGTGTCAGCATTATCAGCAGTTCACTTTCATATTTATGTATGTGTTTGTATTGAAAAATGTAAGTGATCGTTTCATCTTTGATTTTTATTAGTAGTCAGGCAAGTTGTTATTAGAAAAAAAAAGATTGACGTAAATCTTTGTTTCTCTTCATCGTCAGAAAAAATAATTCTCTGGCATTTTTACTGCTATTTTGACGCATGAAAATGTTGAAACAACTTAAGTTTGTTTAAAGTAGGCTAGGTAGTAGTATGTTGTTTTATCTGCCGCAATAAGACGATATAAAATTCATTCATTCATTCATGTAAATTTTTGATGAGAGCAAGCACATTAAAAGGTTTTTTATAGAATAGCACTGAGATGCATCATTTTGCAAGGTGACTTTCAGAAGGGAGAAAAAATCGTTTCTCATCGATTGACAATTGGCATCTTTAAATCATCGTATCATTTAAATATAATCAAAACGATAAGCTACTAATTGATGTAGAAACATATTAATATCCTACGACCAATTTCATTTATATCTTGACTGAGAAAGATAATTTTACTTCAGTATCAAAATTCCACCATCACGAGGCAAGACATCATGTCACGTTGAAGTTCTCAACATTCCTTTTTTCTCTCCATTCAACTCACTCTTACTGTCCCACACAAATATATTGATGAAGAACTTACATTTCAATTTCCCCCTTTTAGATACTTTTTTTCTTCTACTTGAATTCGTCTCAGTTTCATTCCTGTTTTAATTCTTTCTCCTACATTATTGAAAGAGCAAGAAGAAAATACATAAGGAAAATATCCTCTAAACGAATCAATTCGATTCATAAATTTCATTTTTATACTCTGTAAAGCACACTTTGAGAAAAAAAAATCCTAGTTCATGCTTTTGGATTGCAGCATACGCAACAGAATGTTCACATGTTGATTCAACGTGATGATTTCTGCCGACAGAAAAAAAAGTCGGGCAACCGCACAGCTTTTCCAATAAATAAGTAAAATTTTCCATTCAAAACCTTTGATTAACAAATGTGTACTCAGAGATGTCGAATACAGACAACTACATGCTGATATATATATTTTTAAGTTTTAGCTTAAATAACATTTGTTTTAAAGCTTCTGCAGCATTCTATTGGAACATCAGCTGGAGAATTAATGGATATATCAAAATATATATTAAATATGACACGTGACTGCTGCGTATCAATTGTTGCTATAATTTGCTCGAGTTTCCTTTTGTACTGTTGCTATTTCTAGGAAGTATCGTTTCAGTCTTCAACGCGCGTGAATCCGCGTGACAAAACTCCACCCTTCGAAAAGCTACCAAGTCTCAATCGGTTTAATAGAATATCTGAATGCACGACGTTAGAAACGATTTCTGTATCGTTTACTTTTTTATCAAGAGCAGTCGCGAGTTAATGAAAGTGCATCTCGATTAAATTTTTCAAGCTTACACAATTCAAATTCATGAATTATATTCTTGAGATTTAAGTGTTTATAATAAGCAAGGGAAAAAAAGTTTGTGGAATCAATCGAAAAGAAACTTTTATTAAATATTCAAAAATAAAAGAAATATTATTTTATTTGGATGGTCAATCTATGAAGTGAAATCTGAAAGAAATAGTTGAAAGTTTAAAGTGATCAGAAGGAGAATTCTGAATGAATGATCTTAAGTCCTCTTAAAGAGAAAATCAGAAAGATGTTTACGAATTAAAGTTATTTTAAAGTGAAATTTTAAATTGAATACTGAAGATTTCTTGATATTATTTAATTCCAGTTCATATGTAATGCTTTTTTGAAAAATTCTTGCAGTATGATAACTTAATTTACACATTGTGAATTTAAATAAGTAAAGAAAAGTAAAGTGAAAATAAAATCATGGGATCAGATAACTGTAACAATTATTATAACATAGAACAAAATGATGTCTCATCGTCAGCACCTTATTACCAACCGTTGAATTCGATTAACAATTCAAATCAAAATTCAACAGTGAAACACATTAAGAATGATTGGGTTGGTAGCGAGCACGACTCCAATGCAAATAGCCCAAACGGAAGTCTGGATATGCAATCAGAAAGTCAATGTGACCAAAGTATTTCTCGAAGTAGCAGTGAAATGTCTGTTGGTAGAAATATCAAAACATATGTCCACGCAGCAGTACCTCCACAACATCCTCAAATGACAACACCTCATTGGAACGTGGGAAATTCCTATCAAAGATTTTACGGTGACAGTCATTATGGTATTGTTATAGCACCGAATATCTCACAGCAAAGTGTCATGGTGTCAACTTCCAACCCGTGTCATCACCCATTGAACAGCGAAATACAATCACAGACTCACAGTCATCATGTACATCAATTGCAAACAAATCATCACTTGAAGAAGATTCATTATCAAGGTTTGGACATTCGTTTCGAGTTTATATTTAAATTGATTTTCAACGATGTGTAGCGAATTGGTTTGCGTTGAACTATTTACTTTCTCTCTCTTTTGGGTCTCCTTCTGTATTAAGTACATATAAATAAATAAATCATTTAACAATACTTGAAATTTAAATACATGTAAATAAACTGTAAATACAATTCATCCCTTGATAATCCATTAAATTTTATAATTTCGAATTTCATGATTTATTCATGCATTTGAGTCTCTTAAGTTTCATTAAGCAAAGAGGTTTGTAAACAGAATTTCTTGATGGAAGAGTAGTAAACCTCACAAAATTTTATACATTTCTTTATTACTTTTAAACTTGATTGGTTTCATGTTGTTTTGTCGTAGATATTTTACTATACATAAAACAATTCAATTTTCCTTAATATCTTTAAGTAATTTTCTTTATTAACTTTTATGATAAACATTCAAGCGTTGTATTTATTATTGAAAGTTAAGCATGCTAATCTCTTGGGGAGATCAATTTAAGGATACACTTAAATACAACGAATGTGAACTATTATCTTATTGATTTTCTTAAACGACTTTCTTCTTTGGCTTTTTAATCAAACATTGTATTTTTTTTCGCAAATAAATCTTTCAAAAATCTCATCCATCTGTGTTTGTATCGATCGTTGGGATACAAGAAAAGGCCCAATGTGTGAAAGAATGAGAGAGAGAGAGAGAGGTAGAGAGTACACAAAACTTTCGTTTTCATTTTCATTAAAAAGTGAAATTTATTTTAAAAAAACAGGTTTTTCGTCGGTAATTCCTATATGAATATTTGTTAATTTCATGTGTTGTCTGGATCAAGATTTTTGATCGAAATATTTATGTCTTTGCTTTCGAGCAGAGAAAAATTTCTTTTTGTTGGATTAAAGTTATGGGGAAAACAATTCCAACTTATGCTCAGTGAAACATTTAATTTGAAAATATTGTGCAATCGAACTAAATATTCGTAATATTTAAATCTTAAACGGAATAATCCAATTTTCTTCAGTGGCTTGAAAAACGGAAGAAAAAAGCTGCAGCTTACGAAGAATAAAGAAATAAAGAAACAAGGAAATGATCACGAGCGGCACAGAAAATTTGCGAATAATTTTTTTCTTTCTCCATAAATTTCTTAATGCTCATTCAATTCAAAAGTACTTACAGTTGTATACATTGTCTAGGCCATAAAAGCTCTTCTCTCTCACGTTAAATTCAGTACGTTGAAGCTTCAACTATTCACACACTGATCACACACAGATCAAATCTATGAGCACACACCAACAATTTTAACAAATATTTCTACGAAAATACGATAAGTTTCAAGTTGATTGAGTTGGTGCAAAGAGAGAATTGTTTCATGATACAATATGAGCTTTATTTATCTTTCTCTGCCGCTGTTAAATGAAATACATTTAAAGAAATAACATAAACTTACCGAAGAAGGAAAAGAAATTTTGATTCATTTTCTTTCTTTTTCTTTCCAAAAGTCATTTCTTCAGTGGAAAAAGTTAATGGTGGGAATCGAAAGAGTTTTTTTGAAAAATTTATTTCTCTTCCTCTTACTGCTTTGCATTTTGCTTTTGATTCCGGTTGAATGTAAACGCTGCGTTCACTATCGGAAGAATTCGTGTTCGACTTAGATGTGATTATTTGCAGTTGTGCCAAAAGTGATTCCGCTCGCGCGAGATCTACACCTGAAACGTTTAGAACAAAGTGAAGCTTAGATAAGCCTTATTTGACAAGTGACAACGTTCTAACCATTATGAAGTTGAATATATAATTGATAAGTGAACAGAACAAAAAATAAAAGTGATAGGCGGGTGCTGGAAATCAAAAATCCGAATTTTTTTCCTTTTGGCAAATCATTTAAAGAAAAATAAATAAATACATTTTTGCAAAAGAAGAACATTAAAAAAAATCATACTTGAATACATGTTGATTATTTAATTACCAACTAGAATCATTCCGAAGTATTTGTGGATGTGAAAAACTATTGTTTATTCTTTATTTTTTTTTCAATCTCTGTACAGAGTATTAGAACTAAGTATATAAGAATACACATTTGCGATTAGTTGAAAAATTTATACATATTCATACTGAAACGCATGGAGTAACACGTACAAGGTCAAATTTTATTACTTTAGATTATTTTTTTTCTGATATTTTTTTTGCAAAGTTAAGAAATAAATAAACAATAGTTTTCACATTACATCTTTCATCGGGGAAAAAAAAAGATCGCGATTCAATCAAGCGAGTCAGTGTATTATGATTGATGCGATAATAATGAATAAAAGAAATTATTAAATATTCCTTTAAAACAGATAACATAGTTAAGTGAATGTGTGTAACAATCAAGGTGAAAAATGCCGATCTTATAAGAAAGAAAATTCATCTAAATGAAAACCAAAACTAAAAAAAAGAAACTTAAGAGACAGGCATCACTGAAAATGAAGTTAGAATTGAAAATTACTCTAAGTGGCTGAAAATATTACGAGGTCATTTTTGCAAACGAAAAAAAGAAGAAAATCAAAAATAAAATCACGGGAATAGCGAATTATATTATGGAATATCAACAACTACCGCCAGTATCGATGATAATCGGCTCTCCAAATACTGCTCAAGTGGCGCATGTTCATATTATGAATGGTAACAATAATGCAAATGGAAACAGCAACAGTAGTCAGCTGCTAACGATGCAACCACCTTTGCTACCTTTACAAGTTGCTCATAACTTGCATCAACTAACAACCCACAATGGATCATCAAATAACGTTCATCATGGAAGTAATAATCAAAATCCAAACTCCCAACCTCTTCCACCAACAGCGCAGGTTTTACAAGCGATCCACAATAATACTCAACAACAGCAGCAGCAACAGCAGAACAATATGAGCGGTAACACTAATGGTACAACAAATAATAATAACAATAATTCCGACGAAGAAAATAATCGCTGGACACAGTATCAAGTTCAGCAACTTTGGAGACATCATGCTTATCTAAACGGTAAAGTTATTAGAATATTATCAAAAAAAAAGGAAGGAGAAGGATGAAGAATGTTCTGTTGTTCTTCACACTCCAAAGCAAAGACTCAAAAATAAAATTACATTGCAAATACCTAAAACAAAAGAAAGAAAGAAAAACTTCCGCGAAGAAATTTCCGAGTCGCACAATGATTCCGAAATATATAAAACGCCAATGAAAAAACTGGTTTTTAAGTGGGGAAAGCTAACTTTCAGTTTCAGTACTATTACGAAATCTTTTGTTTTAGCATATTTATTTGAAGAGAGTAAAAAAAAAACTAACTTGTGATGATTATAAAGTTTTCGGGACGTCAAAAAAAGTGTTTAAAATCGCTAATTTTATGTTAAGGGAAATCTGATGATGAAATTTATTCATAAAATGTTTGTTCTTTTGTCGTTCACTTTCATTTAATGGACTGTTTCTTTCATATATTTACTTTAATGTTGCTGGTTTTAAATACGTCATTCCCTCCATTGACTTTGACTTTTTTCAAGGGAACTTTCCAACCATTTGTGTTTAAATCATGAAATCATTGCCCATTGGACATTGAAATTTTCTTGAGAACTTAAATGATGCTTGAGAAAGTTTTATTACAATAATATATCAAGTTATTTATAGAATGTTTCACTTTCGGTTTTAATATGACAACTCAGATCTTTCTAAAAATATCAAAAATGCTTTCTGCATTGGTTTGGTGTGGATACATGCAAGTGAAGATTGCTGAATTCTCAAGCTCTTATCTCATGACCGTTAACAAATATTTTTCTTCTTCATCAATATACAATGCTATGCGCTTCCTATGACGCATTAATTATGCTATTACTCAATCTATATTAATATGTTTCAATGACGAAATTTTAATACATTTAAACGAATGAAAAACTTTCTCTTTGAAAATGAAAGAAAAAAAATTAAGCTTCATGTGGCTACGATCAACGAAAATATAAAACCGCTGCCTACCAAATATTGTAATGAAAGAAGAAAAGAAATGGAAAAAACCTTGAAAGTTGTCAAACTAGTTTTCTTTTTAATTTGAGAAGGATATTTGGTCTCTTCATCCACATAGTTTGCTTTGACGTTTCGCAAAAAATGAATCAATTTGCCTAAGATTGAAGAAATTGCTATTTGATTGTACCGATTGCATTGATAATTCCGATCGTGTTTTAGTTTTTTATGACTAACTACATTTTATGCTCTCTTTCATCAAACGCTCTAGAGACACGATATCGATTGCATAATCTAATCGGCAATGGAAAACTCAAAGAAAGATTACCAACCAAGCATCGACTTAGTTATTATTTCATCTCATTATATTTTCTTTTAAAGCATAAAACATAAATCTGATTGCGGTTAACTTCATTTAATGAAATATAAAAACAACGTGCAAAAATACTCTCGCTTTCTTTCTTTACTATTACTATCAAGCCACTGTTGATGGTCGTGTTTAAACTAACTTTTTTTTTCATTTTATTTTTCTTTCGTTTCTTTTCTGTATTTTTCTGATTTTACTTTCATTTGGGAAGCAAGATGTTATAACATTTTCTTTCACTTCCTATATATTTTCACAATTCAGACGACCTAGCTAGGTGGTATTTGTTAGGCGGAAGATTGCTGTTCAATTGAGCATAAACCAGCTAAGAAAAGCTGGTTGAAATATGTATTTTTCTCTTCCGGAAAACAACTACTGTTTCCAAACATTGTAAAATGTTAAAGAAAAAGAAGCGAAGAAGAAATGTAGGAAACATTTAGCATAAATAGCCTACATATATATGTATGGAAATAAATGTTATTTATTACTTCTAAAAGCTTTTCAATATTTTTCATTGTTAGAAATAATGAAACTTATAGTTAGGAAAGCTTTTAAAACAACAATTTTCTTTATACTTACTTAAAGTGTTCACAATTCAAAGCTTAATTTTAGTTTTGAGAAGAAGAAATTTATATTTCGAATCTTTAACAGAACTTTCCTTACAGCATAAAACACGAAACAAGAAATAAATCCAAAGACTGTAAAAGCATAACAGCAGCAAACATCAACCAATGTTTTTAAAACAACTTTGTCTTTCTTCTTATACGTTTTGCATCGGAAGCGTGTCTGGTAAAAGAAAAGAAATTTCACTTTCGTTTTTCGATTGCCATCAACGTGGAAACAACTTACTGACATGAATATGTTCAAAAGTATTGAGCTATTTATGTATTACTTCATATCCAATTTAACACAACTTTGTGTTTGTCGGCAGTAGAAAACCTAATTAGTTCTTTTTTTTTTATTTATGTAATCGTCTTTTTTTTACCATGCAAATCTATAACTAATCGTAGTCTTTTTATTTTCAGGAAAAACAAATAATAACAACAACAATAACAGCATCAACAACAACAACAACAAAGACATTTGTGGTGATGACAAACATAAAGAAGACGGAGATCCTTGGAATGTTGAAGCACAAGCGGCATTCCTAGGGCCAAATTTATGGGACAAAACTTTACCATATGATACAGATCTCAAAGTACATCAAGTAAGTGTTTCGTGTTGTCTATAACACCAAGCTTTATACATATTTAGTGAACATATTTAGAAAAGAAACAAAAAACTTTTCCTTATAAATAAAAGTTTCTCTTGCAAGCAAGATCGATTCTCCCAAGTTGCCACATCTGCAATTCTTTCGGAATTACAAGTGATTAAATCGTAGAGATTTTTTTAATAAGTTTTTATTGTATGTCGAATGATAGTAAATATATGTAACAATTTGTCTTAAATACTTTCATGCTTTGACGTTACATTTTTCTAACAATTAATTAAAAACTCGTCTCATGTATAATTTTTTCTCTTCGTTTTCTACCTACTGAAATATTATGTCATGTAAAAACTGTTTCGAAAGAAAATGAAACAGAGAAAAACAATGTGGAAAATTTCAAGCTCGTTTTCGTTTTCTCAAATCGAATGTTTATATTCTTCTTTTTAAAATCACAAATTAAATGAAACCAAACTAGAGTGAAAACGAGTTTGTAATATTTAAAAAAATGAAATTATCTAATAAAAACAAAAAACGTGTAATTCTTGATTCCGTGTTGAATGTTAAGTTATTGAACATCTGACTAATATCAGAAATTCTTTCCTCCAGTATGCAGATTTGGATGAATTTTTATCAGAGAATGGAATTCCAGTCGATGGTTTACCAAGCAGCCATTTAGGAGGTCACTCAACAGGTATTGGTAATGGCACTGTTGGTCGAAATGACAGTCTAGGACATGGATTGTCCTTGAGTTTGGGCACTGTAACAAAGCGTGAAAGATCGCCATCACCATCAGACTGCATGAGCCCTGATACAATCAACAACCCTCCGTCTCCAGCCGATTCGAGTAAGTTTCGCTTTCATTCTGAATCAATGCTGACAAATATTGTAGTTTAACTTCTTTTCATTTCATCTAAACTAAGAAATATGAACTTAGTTAAGGACAAAATTATATTTTCTCATCCAAACAAGACGAGTTTCTGATTGTGTTCTTTTAGTTTTCGTTTCTTCTATTTTTATGATTTGAGGACATGTCTCTCTAAATAGTAATTGTTAGTTTTTGACGTTACAGCATTTTCGATGTCCTCTTCACGTGATTTTGATCCTCGAACACGTGCATTTTCCGATGAAGAGTTGAAACCGCAACCAATGATTAAAAAATCTCGCAAACAATTTGTTCCAGATGAAATGAAGGATGATAAATACTGGGCTCGAAGACGAAAGAACAACATGGCAGCGAAAAGATCAAGAGATGCACGCCGCATGAAAGAAAATCAAATCGCACTTAGGGCGGGCTTTTTAGAGAAAGAAGTAAATAAATTTAATATTAAAAGGTGACAATAAATTAATTTCTTTCTTTCTTTTTTACTTCTTCGTTATTTAGAACATGAATTTGCATCGTGAAGTAGAGCAGCTTAAGCAGGAAAATATGGAACTACGTGCGCGCCTCCAAAAATATCAAGATGTGTAATTTACCTAAATCAAAGTTGGAGACTAATTAAGAGACAAACCTATCATTAATTACACACATACACACAAACACACTAAATGTTCTTGTCGAATGTCAAAGACTTAAATTTAAAAAAAAATATCTTTTGTTTTGAAAAGAAATGATATTCAAGACGAATGTTAAACAAAAACTGATTAAAGCATAATCTGTTCACAAGACACCACAAGCTATAAAACCACCACAATTCTTTGATATACAACTTACGATATATTGAATTGTTTTTCTTCTTCTCTTACTTGTAGACTAGAATACTATATTTTTAGTAGTAATATTTTTGTTTTATACACGGTTTAATAACAACAATTACAAATGATATCAATCTATTTTGCAATGGATTCAAATACGGAATCTGATGATTAAAAAAATAATGTAGGAACAATAAGTGGTCACGATATTGCCGATAGAACTTTTACAAGAAAAAGAAATGACATAAACTGAATTTGAAATTAAAGAAAGCAAGTTATGTCTGTGTATGTATCTAATGTTCTACACTTTTTACACACAATTTATGTTCAATCAGACAAGAAATAGTTTACATTGATGGGGACTTTGAACTGTTATTTTTTAAAATTAATTTGTGCTAAGTTTATTGTATTCGGACGAACAAGTTTTGCAAAAATCTTCCAAATTTTACACGAGGAATAAAGATTTTATTTGAGCACTCACGACAGACATGTATAATACTTACATGGTAGAGAGAAATACAGTGAAATCCAAAAATAAATAAAAAGAAAAGTTATAGCTCATAATTGAGGATAAAGGAAAATTACTTGATAAGAAAGCACCGCAGAGTTTAAAAATATTTAAGGCTTCTCCATCAAAGATGTGAACAGTCTTAAAAAGCATAAATCAAAGTTTGCAAGTTGTTAGAGTATAATTACAACTAAGTAAAATCAGTGTTTCGATCAGAGAGATTTCATCTGCTCTGCTTTTGTCAAGACTCGATTTTCCCAAGTTAAAATGTATGGTTCGCTTAGTTTAATCGAATCGATTCGAAGCACTGTTACTTAATGCAAGCTCACAATGGCTGATCGCCACGAGCCTACGCACTGGTTAAATTGAAAAAGAAAAAATACTTTTCATTTAACAACAATTCATATGATTAAATTTGGATTAACAACACTGCCACGCGACCACTCGGATATGAAATTCTAGAGATCAGTTTCATTTTAATTATGTTTTTCTTTGTTATTAATCTTTTTTTTTCTTTTTTTGTCATCTGAGTTTGTTAGAGAAACAAAAACAAAAGAAAATAAAATGAAAAACATAAACTCGTAAATTTCAGCTGAGTCTCAAATCAAGTGGCAATTCAAAGTGAAAGATGAGGTGTTTGTTTAGAATATGTAGAAAAAAAAAGAAAATCTGGTAAGAAGTTTTATTTGCTTCTCTAAGATGATGCATCATTTAAGTTAATTTTTATTTTGAGTTTGAAATGAAAAACAAAAAAAATAAATTGTTGTTAAGAGAAATTTGGCACATTTTAATGCGTAGATTAAAAATTTTAGGAAAACTATTAGATGCATTAACGCGTTAACCGTACCTTTCGTAAAATGGGATAGCTATTAAAAATTAAGGCAAACTGTTTCGTTAAAAAACTTAAAATTAATCTTTTCCTTTTGTTTTTTGGTATGAGAACACTCACAATAATTTTAATGAAAAATGATAGCTTTCATTAATACAGTAAATCTTTTGAAAGGGTATTAAGCATAAATAGTGCATGCGTGAAAATTTTTTGACTTTTGACATAACAGCTGAAACAGAGAGAGAGATTGATTACGAGAGAGTAGTTTTCCTGATTATCGAATGAACACTTGTTTTTGATTGTTTTTTGATCAATTACTGAAGAAAAAAATCTTTGATACCAAAGAGGAAAATTATTATACAATGAAATCGAAATCGCTATAAAAATACAAAACAAATACCTAGATACCCGCCAGATTCAACGAAGACAAAATAAACATAAAACATAAACATAAAAACATAAAAAATATGTATCTACGAGAATGAGAATGCATAAAATAGCGTCTTTATTGTTTTTTTTCAAGTAGAGTCTGATAAAAATTGAAACGTTACTCATACAATTGTAGAAAAGGATTATAATATAATGTTTAAGAAGCCGTAGTGATATGTAGTTGGGATATGATTGAATTTAAAAAAAAGAAAACAAATTATTAAAAACCCATGCAATTACGTACTAAAATTATAATAGTTAAACTATTTTAGATGAACATTTTTCCGAAAAAAAGAAAAACAGAGCATAAGAAAGAAAATAATAAATAGATGAAAAATAATGCGTTACCGCTAGTTGCTAATATAGAAAATGAAAATTGACTTGCTAATGTTCATGCAATTCGCCGGATAATAAACGTTACTCAAACCTGTTAGTTCGAGAACAAGAGGTTTTCTTTATTATTCATAGATACCTTTGTTTTGGAATAAGAAAACTAAAAATAATATGATTTTAATTCCCTTTGTTAATTGAATATTCAAAAGTTTAAAGAAAAACCTCTTTGACTAGTGCAATTTTTTTCTGTTCTAAAATGTAGAAAAATTTCAACTTTTGGATTGGCTCTAAAGTCTTTAGTAATTTTAGGTGAATACTTCGTCTCTTAGATGCTGTTATTTTTGTTAGTAATTTTTCTGTTTTTAGTTTTAATGTTTTTTCCCTTATTTTGTTATATTAGGAAATTCTTTGAATTAAAATAAATAGAAAAACAATCGTTTGCAAAGCATTCTTATTAGCATTTTTATTTATTCATTTCTCATAATTGATATCATAAAACTTCAAAATTACCGTCCAAACCAATCAAAAATAAAAAAAATATTTTTCACTAAACCTTGTCTGAGACTCGCTCTTTATAATCTTCCCTTATTTTGTACTATCATTTATTTCAGATTTTGTTATTTCTGTTTTCTTTCTTAAGCTTTTTTATTCTTTTTAAAAAAGGAAAAGAAAAAGGATTCTTAATTTTTCTTGGAAGTGAAAGAAAAAGATCTCAAAAAAAGGAAGAAATTCATCAAAATTATTGTAACAGGCTTAAATATTAAAAAAGTGCCTCAGATTTTGAAAAAAAGGTTATATCATCATTTCTTTACATTAAAGTTTAATTTGGTCTATTTGAATTAAAGGCTGGGTGTGAAAGAACTTTCATGAGAAATTAAAAGAAAAGCTTGAAGTTCAGCATCAATGAATGTATCGAAGAAGCAGGATATTATCGATATTAATTGCATGTATTTTTTGAAGATTGATTAATGAAAACTAAATAAAAATATGAGCGTTGAACTAGCAAAATATTTTTTATATTTGATCCTGATAAGTTAAAACTCTATTTTGATAACCATTTTCAATTTTATGACGAATGCCTTCACTTTTAGTAGATAGGTGAGAAAAATTGTTGTTCTGTTGACCACTAAACAATCAAAGGTCACTTTCATTAGAGTTGCTTATTTTTCATCACTTCACAATATTTCGGTATTGCTTGTTGAAATAGAAAGCTGTAAGACCTTTCATGAGATAACAAATTCCCAAGGTAATTTTTTGATTCCTAATTTCTAACGATCTTTTCATTTTTAAAAATTGTACTTGATCAGAGTACTATCTGAAGAAAAACATTCACTTTTATTTTCAGATTATTAACAAATCTACCTGCGTATATGAAAAATATATATTATACTATGAAACGCCTTAAATGAATTAGATTATGTATAATAAGTACAAGCCTTTGCTCAGTAAAAAGTCTACATTTTATGGTTCATCATGGACAAAGAATTTAACGCAATAAAGTAGTTCCAAAATGAGGTAACAAGACGTCATTCATATCGAAAACATAAAATTTGTATGAGTATAGAAGTGCATTACTTAACTTTTGGATGTTTCCTACAATCGTCATATATTTTTTCTAAAAATAAATACAACTGATGACTCATAATTTTTCCTCATTTTAAGTTTGATACTTCTCATCGAAGGAAGTTATTTCTTAAACGTTGGATTTTTATAAAAAATCTTATAAGAAATCATTTTAACAGTTCTAAAATAATCCTAAGTAAAAAGAAATCAAAGATTTGCATTTATTAAACAAAGAAAGCAAATAAATTACAAAGTTTATTTGAAGGCCATAACAATGAGAAATTTCAACAAAGATAATAACAACGACACAAAGCCAAATGATAATATGATGAAGAGACCACTTACTTTGGATTTAAATAAGAAGATTGTGAATTCTAATGGAGGTCCACCAATCCTTTCCACTCCCGATGTGAATCTCTGTAAACTTGGATCACCAGAATTAGAAAACTTTATTTTGAATACGGATACGCTTCAAACTCCAACACCGTCAGCAATCTTCCCCACAGCAAAGGTAAATAGTGAAATAAAATTTTTATATTGGAATAAATATAAATAAAATGTTTTTAATATTATTTGTAAACAGATAACATCAGCACAAGAAGATTATGCAAAAGGTTTCGAAGATGCTCTTAAAACTCTCCATAATAATGACACAATATCTAAGCCTGTAACTTCCAATATAACTTCAACAAATACTATGAGTGGAGGTGGAATTACTTATGCCGATGCGGAAAATGCTAATTTGTTGATGCAAATTAAAGAAGAGCCTCAATCACAGAATATTCAACCATCAAGTCCTCAGATGAGCCCCATTGATATGGAAAGTCAAGAAAGAATCAAACTTGAACGTAAGAGGCAACGCAACAGAGTTGCTGCTTCAAAATGCAGGAAGCGTAAACTTGGTAAGCTTCATTAGAAGAAGAAAAAAAATTATGTTAGTTTCATCTTATTCTTCTTTCTTTATCAGAGAGAATTTCTAAACTGGAAGACCGTGTTAAAGTTCTAAAGGTGGAAAACCATGATCTTGGATCCGTGCTATTAAATCTTAAACAACATGTATTTGACTTAAAGCAACAAGTGATAAACCATCATAACAGCGGATGTCACATCTCAATTAAAAATTAAACATTTATGCATAACTTAAGCGAGAGTGTCGAAAATTTATATTAAAAGTTTTAAAATTGATTATTTATAATAAATATTTTTGCTTCCAATAATGTAGATTGTTATTTGATTATGATTCATCATGGATTCTTAGAAATATGTTGGATGCTAATTTTTCATATGACATCATATGTTTCCCCAACTTCTTGACATGCTTTACATGCATACCTAGACATTTCACTCACATTCATGTAATCTTCGTTAGTAGTAGGCTGTGTTATCTTTCAAAAATGTTCACACACATCCAAGCATTCAAAACCCGGTGTTTTGCAATAATAGTATTGATAGAGTTAAATTCATTCTTCTAGTATTGCCAATTTACAAGAGAAATGAATAAATTTAGTTGCAAGCAACATTTATTATCAATTATTTTGTTCTTTTTCTTTTCACTCCTAAATTTTCTTTATAATGTTTCGATATAGAATAATTAAGTCATCAAATAAAAAATAGTCTGAATTTTTCGTGTGGAAGTAATGTTGGTTTTAGGTACTTGAATAAGACGTTAAATGAGTCTAGTCATCATGTTGAGTTATTCTCATATTTGCATATGGCATCAAATAAGTTTCCACCAAGACGTGAGGCTAGAAATTTGTTCTAAGAAAAAAAGATTCATTTAGAAACAAAGTCTGATGAAAAATTAATTTATTACCTTAATGACTGCAAGTTTCAAAGAGTCACACTTGAATCTGGAATTAAGATTTGTATGTAAACTTCTCCCCATTCCTTCAATTATTATTAAATCGACTTTATATAACAGCATAATGTCAATAAGATGTCTAGAAATGTCAATTCCATTATCATTAATTCATTTAAGTTTCAAAACTTTTAAACTTACTCATCAATATTCAAAAAATTCAAGCAACAACCTCTTTGGCCGCTTTCTTGTACAATGAGATTTTTATTGAGATAATTTTCTTTTATTATTGGACATATCTCAGTTGCTTCTCTCACAACATCAACCAATTCTTTTGCCGTTACATCATTCAAACTTGGACCAGAATTTGCACATAAAATGACTTTTGTTTCACGTTTAAGTAATTCTCTAGTAAATTATTAAAAAACCTATTCGGTGATCGATTTTAGTGATCAAAATAAAGTTGATACAAACCTTACGAAGGGAAGCACACCAAGTACGATATCAACGCCACTGTTATCGCAAAAGAATGCTGCACAGTTATGTTTTGATCCCTGTTAAAATAAAAAAGAACTTTTAATAAATCCTTAAAAATCTTTGGAATATTTTACATTTGCAAATCTTTCCAGGAGCTTATCAAACGAATCAATAAGCCACGGTCTTTCTTGTATTTCTTTAAGTGCATCATGAAGTCCAAAATGTTGGTTGTCATTAAGAATTTCTTGAACTGCTGTCGCTCCTGAATCAAAAATGTTGCCGGCAAGAACGCCACGAACAAGTTCTTCCCACTTTCTTTTGTTAATATTTTCATCGGAATCTTTAATATCGTCAATTTCAATTAATCTTTGACTAAGCATTGTAAGAGATTTTGAATTTTCAGCTCCTTTCTGAGCTTTCCAAACGTCATGAAATCCGTGCTTTTCAAGAAGCTTCTCATTCAGTTCCAGCAAAATCCGAACACTTAAAAAGTCTTCTTTGCTAAAAATTGAAGTGATGAAGCTACTTCTTGAAGAGATAAGAAATGTAAATATTTACTTGTTCATGAGTAAATCTACGTTTTCCTGGTATTCTGTTTTGTAAGCTTGCGCTACGGAATCGTCAGTCTTTTGGCTCTCTTTTGCTTGAGCCGCAAACTTCATGATCAATAGTGGAATCTGCTTAGCCCAAAAGTTTTTTGCAATTTCATCTTATGATATTTATCACATTTATCAGTTGAATTTTAAAGGAATGATCCATGTGGTAACAAATAGATAAGATAACAAATAAATTTCTAATCATTCATTAAATTTGTATATCATTTACCTTTATTCAAATTAGTTTCGAAAGTTTCTTTATATGCGTCAATATCTAGGAAGTTGCTAACTTTAGCATGCATCTCGATGTTACAATTCTTATAGTAAATTGGAAACTAAAAATTAATATTTTTTCTGTTTATAAATTCTGATGTTTATTAGAATGTACTTGAATGTGTTAGTGCACATCTGATTATGGACAAACCGACATTAGACGTTTCGTCACAAGTTTCTAATAAAATTTGTCAACTCTTTCAATTTAGTCTTCTAAATTTCACAATAAAAATAATAAAATTGAGATTTAAAACACTTTACATAGGATAGGCTTTTACAAGTTCTTATTGTTAGCAAAACATTACCATAAGCCTCAAGAAATGAAACTTTTTATCAAAGAGCTAAAGGGAAACGAAGTTGTTCTGGACATTCAAGATGAAGCTTTCATTGCCGATGTGAAGAGACAAGTTGAAAGTAAACTAAATATTCCAGGTAAGCAAGTTTTTTGAAACATTAAATACCTACATTAAATATTTTCTTTTTCTTATTTCTCTTTGTAGTGGCGCAACAAAAACTTATTTACTTGGGTAAAATTCTTCAAGACTCTTCTAAAGTGAAAGACTATAAAATCCAAGATAATGCAAAACTTATGCTAACGAGAGTGGCGAAACCTGACTTGAAGAAACTTATCCATACTCATTTTAATAAGTTCTACGACAGTGAAACCGCAACAGCTATGACAAATCTTTTCATCGAAAACATGAAACAAAAGCTTAAAGACTTCTCTCTCGATGACTTGGACAGATTTGCAGAAGTTATTTTAAGAGATTCTTAATTCGAAGACTTATATTACTTAGATATTTATTTGAAAGATAATAAAATGTTTTCAAAATAATTCCATTTTACATTTAATTTAATCGTCGTCATTGACTCAACCGAATCCTGAGAATTCTCTGAGATTCGATTTGAATTCTTCGAAAACAAGTTGGATTTCCGAGAACTTAATGTGTAAGAAGTCCTAAATATCATATACAAGCAATGAGAATGTCATTATAAATTTTTCTTAGAGATGCTGTTATGCTTTTATTAAATTTTAAGAAATGACTTAAGTGACAACTAAAATTTTTATACTAACTCGAAAAAGGCTTTAAAAATTGATATACATAAAGTTTAAATTATTTTTTTTCTTCAGTTTCATTGCATACAAAAAAATATAATAATGTGAAAACGGCTCAAGATGATGAACTTAACTAGGTTGACTTCCATTGATAAGCTCGTCGCATATCTTGACAAGTTCGGAATTTTCTTTCGCTTTCTGTATGAGTTGCTCGTTAATTGAAGCTCGAGATATTTCCTCCTTTTTGAGAAGAGCTTTCAATTTTGTTACTTCAGCTTGGTGAGTACGACTCATGTCAGCTAAAGAATTGTTAGCACTAAAATATATGAAGAATAATAAATTAGAAATTCAATCTTGATACAACTTTGGAGTTCAATAAAAAAAATTAAAGTTTAAACATATTCATTTCCACCCACACTCATTACACAAAACCTAAAGAAGCAAAAATATTTACATTTCCAATTGAGACATGGCATGAGACTTCATTTTGTCATAACGAGCTTCTTGCATCTTCAGACTGTCGATGAGTGTCTTTTTATCTTGTAGAATGGTTTCTTCACGATCTTTTAGCTCGGTTGCAATTTGTTTGGTTCTCTCGTATTTTCTATAAAATAAATTTTAGCGAGTGACAAAACATGAAATAAAATTAATTCTTACGCATGGAGATCAGAAAATGTTGCTTCCAACGATGCTAAATGATTGGCATTCAACTCACTATCATTCTTCAAATCACTACATTTCTTCTCGTAAGACTGCACCAACTTATCTTTTTCTGCAATCAGCTCCGAAATTGCTTTTTCATAAGCCTCAACAACGCCACTTTGAAGGAATCAAGAATAAATAAAAATTCCTAAAATCTTTTTATATTGATAATTACTTCATCTTGACGATTTGCTTATCCTTCTCAGAAATTCTCTTCAGAAGAGCTTCTTCTCGCATTTCTGCTTCTTTTTTAATTTTATTTTCCAAATCTGCCATCTTAATTGTACTGTTGTCTTCGTTATAAGAGCTAAAACATGGGTATAAGTTAGAAAAACATATTTGTGTGGGCGAAATGTCAACAATCAAACGAATTACTTACTTCAATTTGCTTTCTTCGCACTGAATGTGATTTGATTCGAAACTTTCGTGTTCTGTTGTTTTATCCTTCATTATATCTACATTCAAACTCATCTCATCTTCTTCTGTCAGAAGCTGTCTTGTTGGTTGTTCGTTGAACGATGAATATGAAGCAGCTGAGCTATTGGGGGAGTATTGGATTTTTTTTGGAATATTTAACTCAAGATCAGCAATATAATCGTCTTCCTCTTTTGTCGGCTCTAGTGTTTTGACCACAGGAAGATTTAACAGTGGATCAAACTTCAAGAGAACAGAATCTCTTTGCAGAACGGAGAGTCGAGCTTGCACAGATGTTCCAAAGTTTTGAAGAAAATCAAAGTCTGAATCACCAAAATTACCTAAGAAATGCAAAACGCATACTTCAATCATTGACTCACTATCACAACATATGAATGCTTATTATATTAGTTTAATTAAGAAAGATAAGACAAAACATTTAAATTATTAGAATTCAACACAAAAACTTACAAAACAATTAAAGTAACTTATAAGAAACGTTAATATTAGTTTACAACTGATCACCTCAATTAATTTAAATTATTTAACTTGTGGCAATGAGAACTTCATTTCAAGATTAAATATTTCTCACAAAATAAAATCTTTCGTCTATCCGACAAGAAATATATAAAAAAAAGGAAAAAAAATTCCTCTCTCCAAAAATTAAAGAAAGTGACGTATTTTTTTTCTTTCTTCTTATTATTCAATGACAACACAACTCACAAACACACCAGCAAATGCTGTATTTATAGCCGCCAACACCTTTCTAAATGTGTTAGTAAATGCATTCTTATACATTTCACATGTTGTGTTTATGTATGTATGTACGTCGTATTGGAAAAGAAAATCTTACATGAGCTACTGGATTTGAAGTCATCTTGTTTTGAGGAAAATATTGGCATTGTTGGCATTTTGAATTCGACGTCTACTTGATTCTCTATTTTATCCACGAAAATTGTTTCCTTGGGTTTTTCAAAAATACCTTCTATAGCCGGTGATATCATGTTAGGAAATTGTTTTATTTCTGAATCGTCTTCAGTGAGCTGCTGACTTTCTTCTTTCTTAAAACTTTTCTCCGTGTTTGTTTCATTGTCTGGAGGAGTTTGAACAACATTTTGATGCAACAAATTTTCACGTTCGACTTGAATTTCGATTGATTTCTCAAGCTTTTCAAAAGAGTTTTGGGAGCTATTGAAAGAAGTTTCACTGGGAGGTTGTTGACGACATTCTCCAATTGGAGTAGTGTTTTGTACATCTACGTTAGGGATTATTTTATCATCATTTTCGGAGGGTAAAGGAACTGAAAACTTAATTTCTTCTGGTGATACTTTTTCCACATTCACTTCAGATTCTGGAAGTTTTGTTTCTTCTTTATTGATTTCCGGTGAAGTTTGTTCAACACTCACCTCAGATTCTGGGAGTTTTGATTTTTCTTTATTGATTTCTGGTGAAGTTTGTTCAACACTCACTTGAGATTCTGACAATTTTACTTCTTCTTTCTCAGTTTCCGGTGAAGTTTGTTCAACACTTGAATCAGATGCTGGCAGTTTTGCTTCTTCTTTATTGATTTCCGGTGAAGTTTGTTTAGCATTTGCTTCAGATTCTGGAAATTTTACTTCTTCTTTCCCGGCTATCGGTGAAGTTTGTTCTTCGATTACTTCAGATTCTTGCAATTTTACTTCTTCTTTATTGGTTTCCGGCGAAGTTTGTTTAACATGTACTTCAGATTCTGGGAGTTTCGGTTCTTCTTCAATGGTTCCCGGTGAAGTTTCTTCCAAGGATACTTCAGGTTCTGAATCTTTAATTTCTTCATTGCTGATTTCCGATGAAGGTTTTGAAAGATTAATCTCTTCATTCTTTACTTCTGGTGTTGCTTGCTCCACATTAATTTCAGGTTTTGAATGTTTTACTGTTTCTTCGTTGACATCTGAATGCGCTTCCTCATCAATTGCAGTTGAAGTTTGATCTGAATTTAATTCTGACTCCACGGGTTTAGTAGCTTCAACATTTGATGTGCTTTGCTCAGAAGTTTCTTGAATAGCTTGTGATGTTGCTTGTTCCAGAGATTTTCTGTCATTAGTTTTCATCGGCAGATATCTGCTGTCTTCCTTCATTGATACATCATCGTCAAACTGTTGCGGTTGAGGTGTGGTTGGATTGATTTCATCTTCGTTGTCTTTCTCGTTTGAATTCGAGTGACTCAAATCATTTGGAGAAATATTTTCCTTGCTTTCATCATTCGTCAACGTGACAACTGCGATGTTTTCACTTTCGATGTTAATAGTTTTATTAATATTTGAATCGTTCTTTTCATCATGCACAACGGTGTTGTTGGCAAAGCGATTGCTATTATCATTAAACGATTCACATTCAACAAATTGTTCTTCATCATCAGAGAATGTTAAGTTATTGCCACGATTTTCACGACTTATAACTGATTGATCTAAATCATAATATTAATTTTAAGAAATCATAAAACATAAACTCAAATATAAGAAATCATGAAAGAAATTCTTTCCACTTCCATCCTGCACTTACCAGAAGAATTTATCCCAAGATTGTTTATTCCTGCTAAGAGAGAACTTAAATTTGAATCGTTTTTAGCTCTCTGACCTTCGTTCCGGGGATAATGAGGTGCTAAAATAAAGCCAGAATATGTTAATAAATTATCAATTGTCAACTGAATTTCTGATATTTCATGGAACTCACTTAGATTGACTGTTTTGTCAAGTTCGTAATCAGAAGAGAGATCTTTCTTTCCAACGACCTTTGGTGTTGATGTACTGTTAGTGTTACCATCAAACGACCTTGGACTGCTAATGACTGATTTTTCCGATGCGATTTCACTCAAAGATTTAGGATTGTAATTTTCTGAGAAGAAAAAAGCGTAGTCATTGAAGATGAGAAATTAATTTTTCTCTATGCAGAACAAAGGCAAAGTTACCTTTAGTCGTGTCGTATGGATCTATATTTGAGATATCTTCTGATTCTGATGTATTATTTATCTGTGCTTTCACTGGTGATTGCTGCTTACCAATCAGTCCAAATAAAGTTCCCAAGCGAAAAAATAAAAAAATAAAAAAGCCGTTGTTAGAGTAATGAAATTAAATTGCAAATTATCGACGATTTTTATTAAATTTACGATTTTTAAAAACCTTGTCAAGAAAATATAAAGCAAACGCGCTTCTAATCTTTATGAAAATTCTTCGCATCCTTTAAAGAAAATATAAAATTAACGATGCTGAGAATGTGAACGCTGACCTCTTGAAAATTTTTATTTGAAGGCAACTGCTGCTTAGATCGAATGAACTTGGATAGAAAATCCATGACACTTTCTCTATAAATATTTTTCAAAATATTCACTTTAACTTTTATATTTCTAATACAACGAAGAACAACGTGTTCCGTTGAAAATCTATTGTTGAATGAATGAGTAGAAAATTTCTTTTATAATTAATTATTTCAATAATTATTATTCAATGCATATATAGAAGAATGAAAAAACAAAACTGAGCTCCGCGTTTCTGTTTTAATTATTGAGAGCAGTGAGAAGAAAACGAAGCAAGGGAGAATTTTGACAACATTTAAAATGTTGGATCTCAATAAGACGGCTCAAATTGTTTATTTCCATATCGCGCATTTTCCTTCGATATTTTACTGTGGCAGTGATAAAAATAGCGATCCTATACAAGGAAACTATGACTCTTCCGTTTGTATATATTCTCTTTACGTATACACATCATCCAAATGCTAAACAATCAGCTCAAGTAAACAAAACAAGATCAACTTTTTGCTAATGAGGAACCTGTCTTCATAATTAGATGAGGTATTCGAATGTTGGCTAGCTGATTATTGAGTAACTTCGTTTAATGAATTAAAATCGATCTAATCATAATAAAATAATTAGCAAAAATTAATTGACTTTTATAATATCTCCTCTTATTTACATAAAAAGGTTTGATTGTTGGATTACTTTTGAGAAATCATTAGAAAACGAACCTCATGTTATGCACCGCTATCAGACTATGAAAGTAGTGCAAAAATTATTTGTTGTTGTTTCTTTCAAAAAAAAATTAAAAATAGATTTACTTGTAAAGCTAAGAACTCAAGGACTTGCACATTTTCTTACCTTTTTTTCTTAATGCTTTTTGAGTTTAAGGAACAATAAATTGATAAAATTGATAATAGTTTTATACTTCAAAATGATTTAAAAATATCGAAGGATCCAAAGGATTCTTTGGAATATTTATTGCGCATGACCTTAATTTAAATTCAGTGAAATCGGATCGTTAGTAATGTACTGTAATATATTCTCAGGTACCTAGCACCTATTTTGCAAAGGATTATTCAGTGATGCAAACATTTAACCTACCGAATCAAAATGATTACTTTCACGATTTTCACGAAGAATTGCTCGCTCCATATTTTTTAATAATGTTTCATAAGCTGCCGTTTAGTGATGTTCAAATATTTGACAAGTTTCAATTGACTTTTTAATGCTTCAACGTTTTTTAACAGGAACTTTTTTCTTCACTTTTTATTTTAATTAGAATTGTTTATTAATAAATTCGGCTTTTTACAAATTTCAGTTGAATCTTTTGAATTGACTGTTGAATTCCTTAGATGACCAAACCGGTTCTTAGAAGACCAAATTGTAGTAACATTTAGTGACTGAAACAAATCAAAAGGTTCAATTGTTTTAAAATTTATAAGTCCGTTAAAATTTTTAACAAATGTATTGAATTTCCTTCGTGGCAATCTGCTGCATTTGAGTAGTCGGCAAAAAAATTGTCTAATAACTCCTTCATTAATTAATTTTTAAAAAGAATGCCTTCTACAAAAATATACAAGTCTGCCACCTCTATCAATTTGCTGAAGACATATTTCAATTGAGTGAGTCATTCACGAGATATTTATTCAAAAACAGAATGACGTAGACAAGAAGAACTTTATCAGAAGCACTATCAAAATTTCTCATGTTTCGTTTATGTTTATGTTCGTTTTCCCATTTATGGGCATTTGCAGAAAAAACATTTGCAGATTATTTTCCTTCGTTTTTATATCGATGGGAGGTGTTATGTTTATTATAAATTAAAATAGTATTTTTATAACTAAAATGAATGGAAAAAAGTGCATTGACATGAATTTTTGAATGCATACTGACTTCCTTAGTTTCATAAAGATGAAAATTAATAAGGAGGAGAACAAGCATTCAAAGTATTCAAAGTATTTTTTCGATCAGAGATACGACGGAAAGCACGAATGGATTATACATGGCTTGTTCTTCTTATCTTGTAATCAGAAACTCCCCTTGACATATTTTTGGGGGAAAATGCAGTTTGATAGAAAGTGCTAATATTTAATAACGAGAAGTTCTTGTTAATATCAAGAAGGTATTATAATTATAGATCGACGGCGATATATTAATGATTCGCAAGGAGAAGCCTGGCCATGTGCAATTTTAATTGACATTAATATTATGCGATCGATTCAGTGGCAATTTTATGTATTACCTGCTTCCGCTCCAATATAATTAGCAAGATGCATTTTCAAAAGAATTTATGCTACACTCTGTTACACATATATTTAAATTTTTGAATAAGTACATTCATATTTATATGTCAAAAGTTATTGTTTCTGGTTCTTATGCATAAATTTATGATTTCTTAAATTTTATTATTTTTAAAACCTAACACCTGTAAAAATTTGTAAGTATCATAATAAAATTATTTAAAGAGAAAACTTCATTACAAGTGTTGCTAACCCATAATCTTATCTATCAAGAATGTAATAAAAAATGTGCGTGCTCGTGATGTTACTTTGTTTATTTACATTGTTCATCAATTCAATTCAAGATATGATTACTAAAAGTTAAGTGATGTTCGCATTTTTCACTGTATCTTGAATAGTAAAATTCAATAAAGATTGAGTTTCGTTCGTTCGTTATGAGTTTTCATGTTCATTGTATTTCTTCTTTTAATGTATGCTATATTGAAGAATCTTATGTTTTTCAAATATTCCAAGTATTGATAGAACTTCAAGATTCTTCAGATTTTATCATGCGAAACTATAATCACGGAATGCTGTAGAATCTTAAATGCAATATTCCATATGGAATAAATATTTCATTAATTGGATTTGATTTTCATTACGAATACAAAAACATGAATCACTGAAAACATCTTTAAAAGATTTCTTTAATTTTCTAATAAATGTAAAGGAAATATAAATTGGAATGAAAGGTTTCAAGTTTCCGTTAATTTATTCAATGAAAATCATTCATGTTTAACATATTAACTGGAGAGTAAGTATACGAAATGGTGCTAATTCTGAATGTTTTTTCACTTAGTGAATCTAATAATTACAATTGTTTAAGAAATAATAACTAACTAATTTCTTAATTGAATAGAGCTGCTGATCATGCTGCTAGTTCATCCATATTTTGGAAATATTCAATATCTATTCAATAATAACGCCCCTAATATTTACGTATAGCGTAAATAACAAGGATTATTAAACAATGGCTGTCAATAAAACTTGTAAATTAGTTTCTGTAAATTTAAATTCCTTAAACTTTTATATCTTCTTAAATACAATTTTAGTTTTTGTTATTATCAAATACAATACTATCCAATTTTTTCTATGGTAAACGAAAAATTCGCAAGCTAACAATAATTGAAGATCAATCCAAATGAATGAAGAAGGTTCGAAGAAAGAATCTAGCTCAGTATATAATTTTCTTATCAAAATGACAGCTTAAAAGGTGAAAATACTTTGCGGTTGTAAAACATCTTTTTGAAAATTTGGTTCTCTTCCTTTACATATGTGATTTCTTTGTTGTAACAGTCAGTTTCCTTATTTTTGTTTCGGAAATAATTTTATACTTTTGGTTATTTCTCATGAATGGATAGATATGGAAGTTTCATTGTTATAATTAATTATTACGATATTTTTTGTTTTTTTATTGTGAATTAGCTTATTCTACAACCTGATTGTCTGAATTTATGTTTGATTTTATTAATTTATTTTAATAAACATAATTAAGAAGAATGTTGACAAAATTTATTAAATAAATGTTCGAAGTTGTAATGAACTCTATAAAATAAGGAATGTTTCGGATTACATTAAATACGGATAAAAAAAAATAAAAAAACCTCCATACTTTTAAAAAAGAAAACAATTAAAAAACAAAAAAATAAATTCATTAAATATAATCTCACCTATTGAGAAATAGACATTTTAAGAAATCTGTAGAAAACATTCAACATTAGGAGAACATTGAAACAAGACATCTTGCTCCACCCACTGGCTATTGCTATTTCATTTTACTGGATATTTTGTTTCAGATTTATGAGAAAACAAGACAATAAATGAGAGCTTTTTATTTTAAAAGTTTCTGTTTTTTACGTTACAATATTCTATCAGAGAAATTATGAGGAAATGACTATGAAAATATTTATCAGGTAGATAGTCAGAATGATAAAAAGCTTTAGGTAAAGCTTTTATTAAAGTTTTTCAGTGTAAATGATAAAAATTTTAATTAAACTCTTTTTTTTGTCATCACTTTATTGTTGAATATTTTTACGAATTATTACAAAACATAAAATTTATTAAAATAATAATTTGCTTTTTAAATTTAAAAATAATATGAATTTAAGTGAATTACTGAATCAAACCTCTGCAGCTGATTTATTCAGAAGTCAAATCTATTTGCTCTCAACAATTTACCATTTTCACACTGTCACTGAATAAACAAGAATACCGAAAGAAAAGAATGAAATAATTAAAAACGTTTTGAGTTACCCCTTAATCTTCGTCGAGAAATCAATTAAAATTTAAGTTTCTTTCTCATTTTCAGGACTGAAAACACTTTAAATTGCTTTTCCTTTTCGATTTCTTAATCTTGTTCAGTTTCTTATTGAAATTTTAAACGTTGCTGTGGGATTCCTTGTGTAAAGCATAGGGCTCAAATAAAACTAAAGTTAAAAGTCTGTCGTTTTCTTATTTCCATTATAACACCAGTTCGCGAAAAATAAAATAAATTTCATTTTAACATTAGACATTGTGTCGTTTCCCAAATCCCAGCTACTGTTTTTAACTCTTGAAATAAAAGACGAGTGGGATTGGAGAGATGATAAAAAAAGGAATTCCTCTTTTATGTTTAAAATTGTTTTTGCAAAGAGCAGACGTTAATTTGCGCCAAGCAAAAGGTGAATGTTAAGTGATTTAGATCAAGAGACAAATATGAATCACTTCTGTAAGCTGAATGGAAACGAAGAAGCGTACAAAATTGTCTTGTGAATACAAATGCACGTATGTAAATGTGAACTCGGCTACTGGGCTTCTTTTCTTCTTTCTCTGAAATAATTGATCTCACCTGCAAATATTTAAATAGTCGATAAGCAGTGAAACGATAAGCAGTATGAAATGTAAATTGAACTCCAAAAATGTTTGCTTTGTCATATATGATCTTCACGTTTTCAAAAGATCACGAGAATGAAATGTTTGCAATTTTTGTTTTATTTAAATATATTTTTAATTGATTAACATAATATTGTTAACTATTCGAAGTATCTTCTTATTAGTGAACGACACAACAACAAGTTTACCAATCCAATTATCGAAAATATTAATTTACTTTAAAGACATCTGGAAGATTTCTATAGACGTAGATAGCCGACATAATTAAAAACTGTTTTACCAACTTTTAGAATAAGAAAACAAGACCACTTCAAAGAAACATATTTTTCGTTTTTAATATCACCTAATAATTCTTTTTCTTTTTTGATTGCACAAATATTTGAACAATGATGAACTAAGAGTTGCTTAATTGAATTTCTTCTCAAACAATTTTATTGGAAGAGAAAAGTATAAATGCAAAACTTATCTTTACAATTTTACATTGCCTCTTTGGCTTTTAAGGTGCTAAGTGCCCATTAGCAAAAAGATCTAGAATGTGGATCATCAGCTCCCGTTTAAAAGTTTTAAGTCGTGACATTTTGATTAAATGATTTATTGTTGCTTTTAGAAGCTCGTTTATAAAGATGGTAAGCTAAGAGATCAAATCCTTTATTGTTGAAGAAGTTATTGGAGATATCAGAACAAGCGTTTTGTGTTTTATAAATTAAAAATAAAAAGATGATTACGTCTTGTCAATAAATTTAAAAGTTCATGTTGCTTTCAAGAAGAATTAATAATTTTAAAAGTAAGAGATGTGTCAAGTGCTAAGAAATAACTCGCAGTGGAACAATTTAAAAACGAAATAAGAAAACAAATTCTGTAACAAGCAAAAAAAAAATTATTTTCCCACCAGGTGGACTTAAATGGTCTTTGCGATAACGAAAAAAACAGCAAGCAAGATTGTTGCAATTGTCGTCAACGCAAGCTGTCTCTTCATAACACACTTGAGAATTGTTTGAAAAATTTACCAGAAAAAAAAACTTCATTAGATTGTAAAATCAAGTTTGAGTCTCAACATCAATCAGAAAGAATGGTTGACAACACAGATTACATTGGAAATTTCTTAGGACCAATTGGAAAATGGCAACTCAGAACAATTTTTCTTATATATCTCACAAAAATACCCTCGAGCTGGTTCATGAGCTGTGTAAGTATTTTAAGAGTGAGAAACATTGTATCGTAATTGAACAGGTTCAATCTTTCTTTCCTTCATTCTTCCAGATTATATTTACAGCACCAAGTAAGTTTAAAGAACAACATTTTTAAAGAATAAAATAAATTGATTCTCCAACTTTACTTACTTACTCACAGCTCCATATCAAGGTGAAATTTATTGCAAACCTCCAGTTGATAAAATTAAAGACAATGTTCAGGAGTGGATTAAAATTGCACATCCTATCAAAGAAGAACAGACAGACCAGGAGGTGGTCATTGATTTTTGCAATATTTATGAAGACGCAATTGATCACATAAGAGAATATTACAACAACACTGAGCATGACGAGATTGATTTGTTTAAGCCGCCTTCGCTTAACTCTACAAAATTAATTCCATGTGAATCTTTCGAGCATAAGCCAACTTACGCTTCGATTATCACTCAATTCGATTTATATTGTTCTCGAAATATTTTGGTTGCTGTTACACAATTTTGTCATCTTTTTGGGGTTCTTAGTGGCGGTATAATTACAACATTCATGATGAATCATTTCGAACCTCGCTACACTATGTTGATTGGGATGTTAACTCAAATATTATGTGGAAATCTCACGGGTTTAGTCAACGTATTTGAGCTTCACATATTTTTCCGTTGCTTATCTGCTGTTTGTTGTGGTCTTATGTACACTGCTGGAGGATTAATCTGTAAGTTTGGTTTTACTTTTGAGTATTTATTTAATGTCTCTGATACATGTACAAATGTTTTTTGTTCTTTTCCTTTAGTCACAGACATAACAAGTGGAAAATATAAAATCATAGCAGTTTGCATGTTTGAACAGTTTTGGTCGATTGGAATCATGTTGTTGCCAGCGGTTGCTTCTTATTGGGAATCATGGAGTTACTTATACATGGCCATTTCTTATCCTACACTCATTCTGATTTTCTTATATCCCTTGATACCAAATTCTCCCAGATGGCTACTCAAGAAAGGAAGAATTCGTGAAGCTAAGGAAATTCTTCTCGAGGCAGCAAGAATAAATGGAAAAACAGATTTTACGGAAGCTGAGTTGGAAAAACAATTAGAAGTTCAAGCTGCAAGTCTTGCTGAAGCTCCACCAGAGCCAAGCTACTGGGAAATGTGGAGAGGCCAATTCAAAAACCTTGCAGCTTGCCATATTTCTTGGTCCGTCTACATAGTTATATATTATGGATTTTTGTTGAACGTTCGTAATTTCGATCGGACATACTTAAGACAAAATACTATTATTTGCGGTAAGAAGTGTGATGTTTTAATTAAATGTTTAATGACTTGAGAATCGATAATGTTTTGTGCTTTAATTCCAAACCTTTTTCAAATTTTATTTCCAGGTATTTGTGAAATTACTGGAACTTTCATTGGGTTATGGCTGATATTAAACACAAGGAGAAAGTGGCTATATACAAGCATAATTAATTTTATTGCCTCTTTCATTTCACTATCAGCTCATTTAATCCCCGCTAATGGTAACACTTAAAAATAATTCTAACTAATCTCAAAATTTCATTCATAGCATTTTAATTTGCTTCCAGTTACTCCTTTCCAACGTCTTATTTTATTGATGGTAACGTCTAGTGCATCTAAAATTGCAATCAGCTCAACGCTTGGGATTCTCATGACGTGTACATCAGAAATTGTTAGCCCTGAAAAGAGACGCCTTTGTAGTTTTACTTCAACAGTTTGGACACGCATATGGCTTCTTTCTGCACCTTTTGTCGGTGCCACAAGTGTGTTTGGTCAACTTGGTGAGAACTTGATATAAGATTAATTAACGAATAAGATTGAATAATTTCTTTTTTTTTTCAGTTCCACAAACGATTATGGCTGTTCTTAATATATTTGGATCTCTAGTAACATCACTGATTGACACTCCACGTTCAGTTGAGAAGAAGGAAGAAGACGTTTACATTTTTTATCCTAAAGAAATTCCTGTACCGGAAATCTGGTTGTCAGGTTATAAAGAATATAAAACTCATCTATAATTAGTTTAACAAAAACCCTTAACAAAACTATGTTAAGGCTTTAAAAACAATTAAATAAATAACTATGTAAATAAAAATATATTTAAGATAAATTAAAAAAGACGTTTTAATTTGGAAAGTTTTTATTTTATTATTCCTGCATTTTAAAATTATAAATCCAAAGTTACCAACTCAATTTTATAAAATTTCCTACAATGTAAATAAATATGAAAATTTCAATATCAGTGATAGTTTTATAGCTTAATAAATTCTAAATTACGCAAAGACTAGATTTTATTAATAAAAAGGAAAATTTTCACATTGCTTCGTAATATTATATGACAACAATTTACCAAATTGTGTGTGCACACTTGAATCATTTATGGGAATTATAATAATTTGAGTTGGATTCAAGAAACGTTTGGAAGCTATGATTGATTTTTTTGCGCAATCAATTTTCATTTGCAGTGGCTTTCGAGTCGAATAGTTTCAAGATATTTACATTTATTTTCATTTCATAAAAAGTTGTTGAAGTTGATTGGTTTTTAAGCTGAGGCTTTTACTAGCTTCATCTAAATATTATGTATCACAGAAAACTAAACAGCGAATAAAAATGATGGAGAGATGTGAATTTAAAATGTGTTTAAAGTTTAAACACACATGAAGTTGGAGATTTACTTTTTACTTTTTTATAATGAGAAGTTTTATTTCGTTTTAATAATTTGGCAATGAGCAAAAGTGATATGAAGACAATCATCATGTGATTTAATTGTCGCTGGCAAAAAGAATAACTTTTATATATTATTTGATCCGTATACACATCAGCTTTTTGTATTGTTGTTGATGTTAATTTACACACAATCATTCACTTCTACTTAGATATGACTTTTAATTTTACATTTCTGATTCATTTACATATGAAAAAGCGACACGATCAAGGATTTTTAATTTTTTTCGCTATCTCACTGATTTAGCAAAGTATTTGTGACAGAACAGAATGACAACAGTGGGCTGTCTTCTTGATCATTGCCATTGGAAGCCATTACTGTTGACGTTGACGGATTTCCACTTAATGTATACGTTGTTATACAAGATGCCGTTGTTTGCTGTTGATTAGAAGCTGCATTCAATCTGCTGTTAAGAGGTGAATAAATTACTATGGATGTTGCTTCATTCAAATGTTGTTCAACGCTTCGATTATTTATTACCTGTTACAATGAGACTTTATAAGAAATCATCCGTAGAAGTGATCATTTTCAACTTGACTTTGAAGTGGTTTGTGCAAAATGCTAAATTCTTTAAAAGAATATCAAAATTGAAATAAAAATGAAATCATGAATTAATAAAAGAAGAATCTACATAAATAAATGTATTTAAAAACTCAAAATGAAGATTGGAAAATAATGAAACAAAATCTTTTCCAAGAGATATTTAAAAAATAATAAAATGAAGAGGAAAAAACTCACTGGGTGCTAGCTTGGTGTTGATGATGTGCATTAGGAACGTGGTGATAAGAAAAATATTGATATTGCGAGTATGCTGTTGGCCATACCTCGCAATTTGCGATTTCACTTGTGTGTCGATGCAGATGATGGTTCGAGTGATGAGATTCGGCTGAGTGAAGGGCGTTTGTGGAAGCCGTTTGCGAATATACTTCATTGTTGTGATGAATAGGAAAGATTGAAATCACCTCTTTACTATTAAGCGTTGAGTTTCCATTCCATTTGATATGATGTGTGCCTTGTGGAGTCTCTAAAGCTTTATTGCATTTACTGTCGTGATGCAAATTATGTTGCTGCTGTTGTTGTTGCTGATGTTGCTGCGGTTGTGAGTGAACAACTGGTTGATTGCTGAATAATGATAGGGGATGATTAGGTTTGGGTGTTTGGCATGGAGATCTTGTGTTAGATGGCGATGCATTAACAGGTGACATATCATCAGATGGTTGGTTATTTCCACTGCCCCACATACCCATTTGAATCACTGTTTGTCGATGAAGAACTTGATCGTAAGATCGATTTGAAGGTGGTGAATTTTCAAGTTTTGGTTGAATTGACAAAATTTCAGGCGTTGCCCGATTCGATCGATTTGATGTGATGATATTTTCATTTGGTGATGAGGAAGCGTCGATTGCATTATTTGGAGAGCTTTTCGGTGTTTTGTTTTTTGTGTGCGAATGTTGAATAACCTAATAAAGGAAATCACTTAATAATTGACATGTAACATTGTCTTTGCAATAAAGTTATAAAATTTACCGGTTGTTGAGTTGATCCATCATAATTGAAATTATGTCTGCCATTCGTTGAATGACTCAAATCACTGTTACTGCTATTGTTGTAGTATTTCTCATCATGCCATTTTTCTTCCTTTGTATTTACGACGGGTGATGTCAGGCCATAGCCGTCGTATGGTAGAAATCCATTTGCCACGTAGGGAGAAGAAGGATGATGGTGATGGTGATGATGATAATCAGGATAGTATCCACCTTGTAGTCTATACTGGTGAAAAAGATTCTCAGCAGATGGATAGAAGCTACTGGAATGAATCGATTGGGTCATATAAATGTTATCGGTTGAACCTGCGCCATACGATACTGGAGACGACGAATACATTGGATTGAGATTAGAATAAGCTACAGCAACTGCAGTTGGATCCGGTATATAGTCAACGACAGCAGGTGAAGGACTCGAAAGTTGTCCAGTCGGAACTGCACCAGTCGGTTGAATTGCGCCAGCATTTGTTACTTTTCTCTTCGAACGACATGTTGAAAGGAAATCCCGCAGTTGAGTTTTATAACGACGATTTGTCCTTTGAGTTGGAGGTGCTGCACCAGTTGAACTGTTTAAAGCTGATGGCGACGTTCCATTTGGAGTCACCAAAAGTTGATCTGCTTCGGTAAAATAGCTTGAGGAAAGACCAGTATCGAGATAACTGACCTGAATAAGAAAAGGTCAAATGAGTTAATTAGACGTCACAATAAAACTTGAGAAAAATTGCCTTGAAATCCATTGTTCTCTTTCCCAGCAAATCTCGACCTTCTTCTTCCATCAGTTGGCGATGCGTGCATATCACAAAGTCTGGCTTTGAATTTTTATAAACTAATCTTGAGCTGGTTTGTAGCCATTGCCACTCGCCATCTTTTTTCTGGAACCTGTAAGCTATCATGCCTGAAGCTCCAGTTTTTAAAACTATTAAATAATTATAATTAGAGTTGTAGAAGTCAAAGAAATCTTCTCATGAAATCATTCATGCACTTACGTTCTTGATGTGCACTTGAAATATATGACAAGTCATCGTAGTGTACAAGATCATAGCCACCCAGTGCGGCAAGTTCTGAGTCTGAATATCCCAACATGAGTTTGCCTCTGTATTGAATTGCTTTATTTAACAAACGATCAATGAATTACAAAATATTTCTTACCTTTGGTCCATTGAAACAAGTGACAGGTCGAGTTTATGTTTTGATTTAAACATATTTTCCTTTTGAGGTATTTCAAGTAAACTAGGCGGTCCAAATGGTGTGCAATATGCGAATAATGCTAAAGGAGGTTCTTCGGTTTTTCTATTTTGACCATGCAATATTTTCACTCTCCCTCGTATATCTAGTCGCTGTATAAAAATCACAAATGTGAGTTTCAAAATAATTTTTTTGAAGAAAGAAAAGAATTTATACCAAAAATCCAGATGTATTGTCGAGCAAGCAGCGGAAGCGAACAGTAAAACTTCTTTCTAGATAATGCAGTTTATCCGGCGCCAAAGCTTCTGATAATGGCATCCCCGATAAATCCGGAGGAAGGAAAGAATTCCATAAAAGCTGTCTCTGAAGTTCTTCACGATCCTCAGAATGGACAAGCTCATAAACCGACTGATGAACAATATCCGACTGAATAAAATATGAAAAGAATTCACATATCAGCAATCTCTTTAGTTTTCTTTTTTCCGTAACGCAAGGAAGAATAAATGTAATGAGAAAGTCAATAAGCAACACAAAGGTGCACAAGTGTCTTGCTTAAGAAAATATAAACGAGAAAAAGAATTACATCTAGATATGTTATAATAAGTTTAAAAAAAAAGAAACACAATTGGGATTATTTTATTTCAGGTTTTACAGCGCAAAATAAATCATATATTTTATTTTTCAAAATAAAACGAAGAGAATAATTTTTTTATTCTGTATAAAGATGTTTGTTTTAATAATGGAAAAAAATCATGGTCAATGCATTTGTGCCCTCTTGGGATTTGTGAATTGAAAAAAAAAAGTATGATTTATTTCAATGAGAGCTGTTTGGGATGCAGAAGAAACGATCAACTCAATTGAGCTAAACTTCTTGAAACTCACCTGATGAAATCCCAAATAACTTTCTATGCTATGCGTTGCGAAGAAAACTTCTCCTTCACAAGTTAGTATCATTAAAAACCCATTGAGAGCCTGTAATGGAAGCAAGAGATAATATGATTTTAATATTGTGTTATCATCTTTTTTATTATAAAACGTGTCATACAAGAGCTCAGGAAAACAACATTAAAGAAGTTTTTTTAATACTAACTTGATGGATTTAATGCTTCTAAAATACATTTAAGTTTTAGCACATCCCAAATGATAAATGCAACTTGAAAATTGTATTTCGATATAAATATGTTTGAAGAAAATTAACGTGCATGATTCCTTGTTCATGATTATTCGCAATCTAATGAGTTTTTGATGAGAAAATTGGAAAATCGCTAAAAGTTTTCTTTTTTTCTAACAAAAATCATTTTTATTTGTGATGTTTAAAGTTTTAACAATTTGTTATTTGTATGAAAGTAATTTAGATAGTACAATGAAACATCATTTCAAGCATTTTTTGACATTCAATATCTGAAGTTTATTATTTTATTAAATGTTTCAAGCTTATTTACATTCATTCTTGTGTTACTATTATCTCCGATTGTATATAAGTATTCATATACATCTATGTATGTTTATAATGTACACTGACTAATTATTTATAATTCAAGTTGCAACATCTCAGAATTACTCATGAGTATGTGAAATCATGTGTGGGAAAATATTTCATTAGGTTTATACATAAATAAATACATGGAAATGTAGATACATAAAATCATCAGATCCAAGTGTTTTTTGATTGAATTTTTGTCAAGATTGTCCACCTTAACTCATATAAAAAAATTATTCCTCAATGCTAACAGTATTTTACAACAAAGAATTTAAAGTATTCATCATAACCGGAAGCAAAGCGTCCGAAGATAGAAGTCGATGTTAATTTCCATTAATTACGAAATAATTTAAAAATAATTGTATTGTTAGTAGCATTAAAAAACAAAAACAAAAAATAGTGAGAAGGAAAAATAATTATTAACAAAAATGAATTAAAGAGTGATTAAGACACATCTCAAATTCTGTACAAGTTTCTGTAGTAGCATCTCATGTTCTAGAGCAAGCAATAAATGAAACTTTTTGTTTCATCTTTCTGTTTTTATTTTGTTTCATTTGTAATATGAAATTAAGAGAAAACAAAACTTACTTGAAGGAAAACGTCAGCATCAAGCAATCCATTCTCGAAAATGCCCAACTCCCTCGTTCTGTAACTATCATGTGATGAGTGATGTATGTGAATCATTCCATTTTCCTCCTTCTCCTTATGCATGACCACTGTAATAGATATTCAAACAGAGCGAGAAAGCGAAAGGGAGAGAGATGCAAAGAAAAAACAAGATAATTAATTTTCTCCTGGTTTGCGGCTTATGGTACGACGATCTAATTGATCATGTTACGTTTACACACATAAATTATAAACGTATGAAAACTGTCTTACAATAAAATGCGTAACTATGAAGGAAAAAAAAACTTTTGCCATCTTTCAACGCACAAAAAAAAACTTTTCAATCAATATTCCCATATAAACGCAACTAACAACAATAAAACCTGCCCCCGACAAAGTCTAATAAATTTCCTTTTACCACAGCTCTTTTTTATTCGAAATGTATAATCGTTTTTTCTTTCCTTCAATTTAACTTTATATATCTACTTATATAAAAAGGATAGATAGATAGATATTTTTGAAGGAAATCGATGTTCAAAATAAAATTTAATGACCCTTGAGCTTTGCTAGTTTTTCTTCTTTTCTTTTCTTTGACAGATAGATATAGCATTGTTCTAACGTCTAACAGACAGAGCATGCTTAATCCAAATAAAAACACAACACGGGTACAATGACGTATGAAAATTGAGCGAAATTCCCCTTTCCACAATCTCACTATAAACGACCGACAAAATAACAGCAACATTAAGCAGCAACAAATATCTATTTATGTAGATATGTTACGTAGGAGGATCCGTTTGAAGGTTTCATCAACTCATGATGTTTAATCGTAACTCTCAAAGAGTCATGATGATTGTGCAAGATTTTAATGCCGAAAATTGTGTATTGCAAATCAATTAGTTTGATTAATCAATAAACAATTTTGAACCCTCTTTGTTTTTCCTTAAACGTCGGCACATTACTCGATCTACCGGTAAATACTCTTTTACTGTACGGTTTAACAAATTCGAATAATGGAAAACCAATAGCCCATCATCAAAACCAACATACAATATTTTGACAATAATATGTTAATCGGTTTTTGATTTTTCCTCAATTTAGATTTCATTAACTACGTGCAAGCAAGTCGCTCGGTGGTTGGAAATAAAAGAAGGAAAATAGTCAACAAACATATGTCCGATCACGTGTTAACAAAATAAATTTTATGTTTTATGGAATTTTATTCTATTCACAATTCAGTAAGTTGAATAGAAACATTAACGACAACAAGCGACCGCAGACGATTCTTTTGATTAAACTACATCCATCTCATCTTAAATATGATTAATTGATGGATGTTTGTCTCTGTTAAAATGTGATGCTTTTCTGACTGGCAGTCATAATCTGTTAATTTCGATTTAATTTTCTTGTTTCTCTTATGCTTGTTTATTAAACTTTTTTCTTTTTTTTTCTTTTTTGCTTAAATTTAAAGAATTCACAACATATGTTATTTATAACTAATTCGTCGTTATTTCATTCTTTTACAATGCTATCCATATTTATATATGGCATACCTGGTTGGGAGTAAGGAGTAAGAGGGAGACTTAATTTTTGAATGAATGTTATTAACAGACGTTTGGAAGTAACCCTTCAAATTAAAAAATAAATATCAACCCTCCTACAACCATATGCAGCAAGAGCCGGTCCCAATTGTACAATTTCAGAATAGTTTTAGTAGAAGCGATTTATGGTTAACCCAAAAAAAGCAATAAAAAGAAGAAAGATATTTAATTCTTTTAACTTGAAATTAAAGAAAGAAAGAAAGATCTCATACTTATTATTTATAAGAATTGAAATGCGCTTCTGCGCTTTTAAATTCATTACAGGTACTTTTCTTTTTCTTTCATTATCGATTTGATAATAATACGAGAATGTACTCTACACAGTAAGAGAAGGAAAAGATGTTTTCAGAAAATTAAAAGAAACATTGGATATTTTACATCTCTACGAACGAACGAACTTTCTTTTCTTTCTTTTTCTCTCTCGAACTCAAATAATAATTTATGTATTCGTTGTACTAAATTCTTCATTTATCGAATTCCACCCTAAGCTAAGCTTCGATTTTCCTTTCTTTCCATAAACATTTTCTCGAATTCTTAAGTATATTATTGCACATGAATAAAACCTTATCCGAAACATTTCAACCCCCTGAAGGAAAAGCGACGAAGAAAATAACATCACCCATTTTGTTTTATTACAGTATACAATTCCTTCTTTATTTTATATTCGGGGAACGTTTTTCTTTTTCTTCTTCATCCATGTCTCTTATCAAACCATTTAGGAGAGAGACGCGCATGCTTTCTTTCTCTCATCCATTCCATTTCTTTTTTCTTATATTTCGGGGGGAAATGAAGGAAAGAACGAACTTTAAGGTTTACTACTACAATTTATTTAAAGAGTTTTTGATTAATGATGAAATGGGCAATGAATCTGAAGTTAAATGTCGCGCTTAGGTTTTTGATATAGAAGCGTGATTCGAGACATTCAATTGTTAACCATTCATAACACGTTCATTCCACAGTCGTGATCGAATCGACTTGAAATCAGCTGATAAACAATAATAAGCCGGCGTGCTCTAATAGCATGTTTTGCTCAAATCAAAGACGAAAAAAATGTTTGCTTGTTATTTAAATTTATGGTGGTTCTCGGATGTTTATGTTTTCAAGTGTAAGCATAAACGTTTAAAACAATTCTAATGCAAGTTTTGCCGAAATTTTTTCGCATCATCGTCTATGGAATGTGAATTGTTTTCCTGCCACTTTTCGATTTGATATGAAAAAGCTTTTCACGATAATTAAAATCTAAGCCTCGAAATCTCAGCATGATTTCATTTTCACAAAGAAACATCATGAAAAAGAATTCTAATGTTTATCACAGCCGTAATTTGTTGGTAAGTTGTTTGGCACACCATTTGACGTATTTTTTTATTAGTCAAATTAGTTTATTAAAATTCATATTGTTATTTACATTAAAATAAATCATTTTTTTCGTACTTTATCATACCCTGGCTTTTGAAAGAGTAAAGAAAAAAATTATTCCGCGTGAGTTCTCTCTTCGCATGGGTTTACCTGCCACCAGATTAGAGTGCGATATGTAAACATTCGTACATTATATTCCAGCGCTAAGTCGGTAAAGGCTGGACAAATTTTCTCCTTTCATATTTTTTTTCGTTTCAATTAACATAAAAATGTTCTAGATTTGTTAATGATGTTATCAGCGACTAATAAATTCTTTTTTGACCGCTAAAGTAAAGTAACGTAATGCTCACATATACCATATTTTTATAGTCGAGGCATTATATCATGTTAATGTTTAGTGCGTTCATTACGACGAAAAAAAACCAAAAGGCTCTTATACAATGTATAAATTTTAAAGAAGTGGCCAGTGACGATAAGCTTTTTCACAAATTATATCAAAGCTTTACTTATATACGTATACGAGGAGGGAATAATTAAAGTTAAAAGCATCGCTCTACCCATTCAAAATGGGAAGGTTAACTTGAACCCACTTTGCTTACCTTGAAAATAACTTTTAGTCCTCAAGTAGCTGACTGAAAGCCTTAAAATACTCAGTCTATCCAATTTACTTAAAATATTTTGTTCGAATGGCAACAAAGATGCTAAAAGATCGAGTTCTGCATTGAGTCTCTCACGATGCCTTTTTGAAGGGTTGCTTTTTGTCACTCCATCCTTAGGTGGTGGCTTTAAGCTGTAAAAGGATGAAAAAAAAAATTATGAAAATCAATTAATCAAATGAAATTTAAGAGAATTCCTGTGAGACGTTTGATTAAATGAAGAAAGTTTTAATCTCGTTCCCTGAAATCTTGTTGAAGTTTTCATTCATAAAGCGTCCTCCTTTTTTTATTCCGATAATATTTTTATATTTCAATTTTTGGTTTTTGATTCATTTCCCATGTTCAAGTCTAAGTTAAAGTTTCGTCGTATATCAGAAGGACGGGTAGCATATTTTTTTAGTAGTTATCTACTTCAAAATTATTTATTACTTTTTTGCCAGTTCAACGTGGTACAAGGTATTTCTCGAAGAAAAACATAGCAATAAAAGCATTGGTGGAATTAAATCACAAAACGGAAAAAAATGAAAAAATGAAGAAAGAATAAAATAAGAACGAATAGGTTCGAAGAAACAAATATATAAAAAAATCGATTCAGGTTATCTGACTTTGGATTAATAAAGTTTCGTATGCCACAAAATGTGTATATTGATTTCAAATAAGTTCAAAAAATAATTGTATCAATTTTTAACATCATTATTTATTGTGTATTGTACGAAAAATTCCCAGTCTTTGTATCCACAGTTATTTTTAATAACAACGTGAACCTTTTGAACCTACAACCGTAAACAAGTATGATGAACTACCTGATACATGTAAATACGATTCATGAAATGTTTTTCTTGAATTATTTAATCATCGTAATCGGTGAATTTCGTTTATACTAGAGAGTAAGTTTCTTGTTTCATAACTTTGATTTGTATACATATTTACTAAATAAAATTTCCCCATTTTCCCATCTTTGTCATGATTGATTAAATAAAAAAAATATTTATTTTCTCTTGAAGGTTTTTCATTAAAAATGAAAGCCTTCATGCAACCATCTGATATTGTTTAAATTTTTACTCATTCATATTTATCTTTAGTTTTCTTTTATTCATTTGTTTTCTCTTAAAAATATCTTTCACATCCTGAAATTAAAGTAATTTTAGTTTCAATAAAATTATTTACTTGACAGTGATATTTGGGTCATGCTCCAGTGCAACACATTTTGAATGATAATACTTTAGTAATAATTAAAATTGGTTCTCCCTTCTTTAAATAAATTAAATAAATGAATGTTTTAAAAGGCGGAAAAGAAAATTCCACGATCGACCTCTTGGTTAAACGTAGTGAAGAAGAAATATGGGAAAATTTGCATTCAACATCAGTAGACGGTTGAGACTAGACTAGACTAGACAGCAGACTAAAATTAAGTATTTAATAATTTTTGTTTGTTTCGGCAAATCAACAAATTGCACACCTTTCCAGTTTCTAATACTTTATCGAAAAATATTTTATAAATTTTCTTTTTTCGGAACTTTTTTCATTTTTCACTTTGCTTTTGTTTCGAGACTACGAGAGACTCGCTGACGCAAGGAAATAAACGTAGAAATAGTTTTTGTGAAAGTTACATCAGTGTCAGTGTCGAATCTATGTGTGTAGGCGAAGTGGATTTAAATAAATTTGCATAAATAAATCGATAGGAATAGTCAGACGGTTTGCTTGGGCTTTCCAGTATGACCTAGTAATGACGTCACATTTGAAAATCAATTGATTTTACTTTTCATTTAAACAATTCTGAAGTAGCTTTTAACCAGCTTTGTGAATCTAAACTGTTTTGTGTGGAATAACTTAACTCTTTAGCGCTTTTGTGACAGATTGAAGGAAATTTAAATAAATAAAATAAAACTTTTATTTCTTTTAACCAACGTTTCTCCACCGCAACAAAATATATAAAATGCTAAGCCAATTTTTTTCCATTGCTGTTAATTCTTTGCCAAAGTAATTAAACATGCAATGTAAGGGGATGTAAATAGAGAATTTCTTTATTTACATATGACTTTCCATAGAAACCCTCTATGTTTTAGGTTAATTAATATTCTACGAATACTTCATTCAAAAAAATATGGTTATTATCGCATATTTTTATCATTATGATTATTCACGTCGAAATCAAAAAATAAAAAAACTTATTATGGTTTTATAGTTTCACCTCCTTTTTCGTTTGTAAATATTTTTTTATGTGAAGCATTTTTTTCGTTTGTCTCACCTTGTCGCAGAATAAAACTGACCCGTTATAAAATCCAAAAAAAAGAAAGAAATAATAACATTGAAAAGAAGGAATTAATATGGGGTTCCTACAGTATAGTTAGAATAAAGAATGGTATGCTACGTCTGTTACAAAGAAAGATAATGAAAAATGTTTTAAACAGAACACATATGGTCAAAGCATTTATACACCTTAATATCCACCTAACGGATATTACCAGCTACATATGTGAGGGTAATCAACCCTCAAGAGTCTCACAGTGGTGCATTACTGTTTCAGTATCGTTTCATTTCTTGTTACTTTTTTTAATTCCGAGAAACAATTATCAATTAAAAAGCTTCGTTGCCATGGCTGATTGTTAAATTCGTCAGAAATAATTAATGCATCAGACGTTCTTTAAATAAAGAAAATTTAGAATGGCTTTTTTTTTTGATTTTATGGAATTCCACAATAAATAAGAGTTATGTGTTTTGAGTAGGCATTTATGTGAGATTTGAATAATTTGTAGCATTATTATAGATAGTTAAATATTAAAAATGTATTGAAAACTGAGAATCCTTTAATACTTAATCTTCTATCTAAAGAGTATGTTAAGAATCACAAAAATTCAAATCTCATCTCATTATTTCGATGATCATAGTTTCTGATCGCAAAAGCTTCAACATTTTAAACGTTTTATTATGATACTAGGCCATTAGTTGAAATTATACTTTGTGGCATCGTCGAGGTTTAACAGCATCTGAATAAATTCGAATCCAAAATCAAGGTCATTTAAACAAAAATGCTACGAAAATCTAGCGAAAAAAAATTTTTCAACATAAGAAATAATTAGAAACAAGAAGGATTAGAATATTTAGATTGATAAAGAAAGATTATTATTACAGGAGCTGTTGAAGATGAAAGAATGTTTCTTTGATACAAAAATATTTTGGGATTGATCCATATCAAGAGATGTTGTTATACTGCGAAACTTAATTGAAATTTTGACGCCCCTTTAAGGATCGTGCGCGTTTCTGAAATGATATATTTATTGCGAAGTTGATTTATTCATGCGATGTTATGAGTTATTTCCATTCATGAATTGCAACTTTATTTTCCCTCAGATTTATGATTTATTAGTGTTTGAGAACGTATGTTTGACTAAGTGCGCATTGTAAACAATAATTTTTCAAATTCTTCGCAGTAAAAAAAATGTCAAGAGAGGCGAAAAGTATCAACAACAACTCAATTTTAGTTTTGAGCAACATTGAGGATGCATTAAATTTTACACACACTCAAAAAGGAGAATTGTTCAAGTTTTGAACTTTTATTGCAGTAAATTATGATATTTATCCACAAGAATGTAAAGTTATATGTTTTTGCTTCTGTTCCAAACTTCAACACCATGATTAGTATCCCAAGATGTTTATTTATATTAACCCATCTCTTCTTGTTATTGAGTGCTGCAGCAAACGAAGATGAGCACAATTTATCAACTGTTACCGCCTCTTTGATCGATGGACATTACGACGATCGCATAATCATCGACTCAGTAATTGATATAAAACCGGCAATGATAAAACATTACTTGTGGCATCTTATCACCACACAAAGAAATTACATGTATGCTAACATACCTTATGGAATTATTTTCAAGTAAAATTATTGCACTTTTCAATTTCTACCGAAACAATTTGAAGCTTACAGTGAATAAAATAAAATAATATGACCACTGATGGATAAAAAAAGTAAAAAAGCTTTTTTTTATGATTATAGTTTTATCTTTTTATTATAGCGAATTTACATTGTGTGTGCTCGCTTATTTTATGGTTCCATAATTTTTTAATGATGCTAGGTGCACACGATTAATATAATTGAAATTAATATCATGTTCACGTGGGTAAGTTTGCAATTACATTTTTGATTCAAAGGACAATTGGAATCTTCAGGAAACATTATCGACATTTCAAAATATCGACAATGTAAAATGCAAGCAAGTAAATTCCCTTAATTTCTCAGATTATTCTACCGATAGTAAAATTTACATTTTAGATAATTTTCCTACTTTGTGCAACATAGTAAAACGAAATAAGTTGATAAGTACAAGAAATTTTCTTTTTCATCGTTGATGTTTATGCTCATTAGCTGGTGCAATTTATTGCAGTAAAATTTTATGAATGCATTTTTAGGGAATATATGAAAGGCTCAAATGCAACGGGCAAGCATAGTTAATTTCAGTATGCTGTAGAGCAGAACAATTTTTTTATGGAAAATAATTATAAAATAATTATTATGTACTTAATTCTCGTTGAAAAAAAAACTTTTTAATTAGACTTGATTCAACAACAGCATTGCTAATGCGCATGTATAGAAGTAGTGTTGGAGCCACTCACTAATGTCGTAGGCTGATATCTGAGTTTAAATCATACGAATACATCGTTAATCAAATATTTTCGACTTCTAATTGCAACTTTACTTCTCATTCTTGTTTGAATATTTGCTTAAGAATGAAACATGATGCACATAAAAAAGGTTGTTCTCGAAGGAATCAAACTGCCCCCCCTGCAGCTACTGAATTACCCACCAAACATAAGAATGTGTTTTCTGTGTTTTACTCTTGTTCATTTCATATTTCATTTCGATTCGTTTTCGCATTTTTGATAATTTGTTATTGCTCTTATTCGTGATATTTCATTTTAAAGGAAGAAAAAAATGTTAAAAAGAACCTTAACAGCAGCCAGCGACTGACTGCATACTGTAAAAGAGATACAATATACGAGGAATGGAAACATATTAATAATATTCCCAACCAGCGAATCCTGATGACTATTCTACATAAATTCCATTCTCGTCATTGATTATTTGCCTTTTAAACCTTTTATTGTTGGCCGTTCTGTATGTTCCTGTCTCTGCATAGTAGCAAAGTTCTCTACAACTCTCTACAAGACATAATTAAAGAAAAAGTTATTGCTGTAAAAGTCCAAAAACAGAAGATTTTGCATTCTGGATTTGGTTACTATCGAAACGTCTTCGTTTCTTGCCTTTAATTTATTTATGCGCTTCTCTCGTATATTTCATTAATATGTCTTGAATATTCATACGGTGTGTATCGCATATGCAAAAATGACTATAAATTTATTTTTTTTTGTTTTGTTGGCAGCTCTCTCTTGTTTATGATCAAACTTTTTGGCAAAGGATGAGAAGAATTCTGTTAACTAAACATATTAATTGTGGACAGCACAGCACTATAGGTAATTTTTTTTCATTTAACTGATCTTTCTCGTTTAAAAAAATTTAAACGCCACTGAATGAAAATATGAGTTTTATAATAAAAATATGTAAGTGTAAGAAAAATTTACTTGGACATTAAAATTTTTGTATTTTCTTAACATTTCAAAAAAAAACTTTTTTGTTTCAAAAATTATTTTCAAACTAAACTAAATATAATTTCATTGATGAAATTTACTTAAAGTTTTTAATCTGAAGATAATTTTGTTATTAAATATTTAAATATCCATGATGTCTATCAAGTTGATATACAAACTGACATAAATTTCACATAAGGTTCACGCAAGTATCTAATTTCATGTATAAGGTGTCAAAACGAAATCTATGATATTAAACGCACAGCGTGATCATCATTACAATCAACGAATAAAATGTATTCAAGGGAAAATAGCAAAGATTAAAGTCAAACCTTTGTCTGTTATAACAATCAAGTGTCACTCTTGAAACCATAAAGATAGTAACTTTTACTTTGATCTAGCACGTTGGATAGACAAGAAAAAAATATTATTGAAAATTTGAAGCTAATAAAGGAAGAAACAAATCTAAGAAACAAAATAAGAGAGTCAAGTGGAGAGTAGATATACAATTTACAATGTCTTGTCTTGATTTGATTGACGTTTTGTAGCGCACATATTATTCTCCTTATTTTTGTACAAAATGATCATGGCTTATTAAATAAAGATTAACCTTTTCTCTTCTTCATTTCATTTTATATTCATTTGCAGGCTTCTTTTACTCGAAAAGAATAAAAAATTCCTGGTATATCAAACTGAAAATTATTGCTTACCTTTTTCCGTTCCTTCTTCGGCGTTTTGTTGCGTAAACTGTGCCCAATTGACTCATTGTATCAATATCGGTAAATTTATAGTTTTTGTTTTGTCTTTTAATTTACTAAATAAAACTTTCTTAATTTCTGTATAGATATTAGAATCGTCTTCTTTTTTTTCTCTTTCTTTCTATTAATTACATAACTATTCAATAATTATTCAAAGAAAACTATTTGTGTTATTAATTGTTTGAGCCCGACGACGGTATCAAAACTTTTTCACATTCTTTGTAATCAGCTTGAATATTTCTTTTGCCCATTGAAACATTTCTTATTTTCCTGTTTATTCATGTCGGTATAATTAATTTTAATGGCTTTTCGAACACTTTTATATCTTCATATTAATCATCAAAAATTATTTGTATCGCACTCGTTTTCATTAGGCGCATTTATTTACACTGTAATAATGATTGATCATCGTTTAAATCGATATATTTAGGATCAATTTGTCATCTCTTTTCACTTTATTTTGTTGTTCTCTTTTTATGCTTTTAAAAAGAGATGCTCTTAAAGTTGTGATGAATAAAGGTAATCAATACAAAATCATGTGAAATTAAAGCAAAAAACGCGACCTTGACTGCTAAAAGCGATTCGTGACAAGAAAGTTTCATCACTCACAAATGCGTTTTCGCTATTAACTGGTGGAGTCACGCACAAATTCAATAATTTCTTGTAATTGTTAGAATTACGTTATGATCGGAAGCAGGAAAGTAAATAAACACGCTGATCACTTTAGAATTTATTGATTCACTTATGACTTATCAAAGGACAATTATTTTCCATTTTTCATGACTTTTCTTGATTTCTTAATCACTTCACCATGTTAGTGTGTTGAAATCTTTTTCCGGCGGTTACTATTGCACAAAGTGAAAAACTATGTTGATGAAAATTTTTTTCTTCCTTTAAATTTTTCTTTCAATTATCACGAGTCTTCACGGAACAAAATTTTCTTTATTGAAATTAATGTATAACAATTCACAATAAATCACTGGATGAGAGTTGCTTTTAGATGGTTCAAGTATCCGTGAAATGACTTCATGAATAATCAAAGTTTAGATTTTTGCTTTATTTTTCATGAGAGAATTTTACTAATGTATGAACGCTACTAATTTCCAACCCGAAATAACACAAAAAAATATGTGAAGTTTTATTGAGCATATTAAAGGTGTTTCTTTCTACCTTTTGTTGATATATTCCAATACTAACTCATATGTTAGAAAGGAATGGCATGTTGCACAATGCACCCGAAAGTATATTCGACTCACTCTCTCACTTTGGTAGGAAAGAGACAACAAGATGAAATTAAGGTGGCCTGTGATCTGAAAAGCTTTTCCAAAGCTTATTCATGATGTTCTTTCAATGTTTCATAATGTTGCAGCATAAAAGTAATGTTGAAATTTAGACAAACTGTCATAGCGATGAGTCTTAAATAAATTATTTTTGAAATGAGATTTTCTTTGAGCATTAGTCACAATCTTTTGACGCATGATTCGAAAGTGTTTATCGATCAAAAAAAGCGACATTATCAATCACGAAAAATCAGGGTTGAAAGCGCTTGAATAATAACGAGTAAAGAAAGAAAAATACCCTTTATTTACATCATTAAATTCAAAATGGGGTCGCCATTGAGCTGCAATTGTTTCTAGTTGTTGTTATTATTAGTGCATATCAAGTTTATTGATACAGAAAAAAAATAAATGGGTTCAGTTTGATTGCGTGTCGTCTACTCTATTCTCTGTGAAAATAAAGAAAAAATTCTCTAATTTAATGGGTGTTTTATAGTTTTATGGGTGTCTATGCATCAAATAAATAAAAACACAATTTAATGTACACTTTGTAATCATTTTTGCATGAAAAATAGGGAAATTCGAAGCAGCAAAGCTTTTCAACTGGAACTGTTCATAGCGAACTGTCTTGATCAGCTTGATGTGACAACGATTTTAAATGAAACCTTTAAAAACTAGATTGAGATTATTAGTAATGTTTTATTTAAAAAAACGGGCATTTAATTGCTAAGCTTAGTTCGAAGCGTGCTTCTATGTTTTGGCGACAGTAAAACTGATAACTATTAAAATAATAATTTCTTGTTAAATTTTTAAATATTTCTTGTACAGAGTTTGAAAAAAACAACGAACTATAAGCTTTTGTCAACTATTCAATGAATAATTTAAGTTTTGATTGGAAGTCATGATTACTCATTAAACTTTAGTTTCATTCATTAATTTTTTAATGTGATATTTGATGGGGAAGGTTGATAGGAGAAGGTTCAAGAAGTTTTGAGTTAAAATATCGTGACAGAAGTCAGACCTTCTTTGAATGTCGACTTTATCAACAAATCCGCCATTGTCGCTGTTGAAGCAACAAAAAAAAATTCCTAAATTTAAATTATTCGTCTCAATTGTTCCTTTTCGGCTTCAAAACGTTAATTTTTTATTAGAACAGCATCATACAGCATCATTTAAAGTAAATTGGATAACAATCAAGTTTAATTTTTTTGTGGGTCAATTCAACACGCAACATCAAACAGAGCCACAACCAGCATATTCACAAATTGTTTATAAAACTTGAAGTATTTTTTCTCATCTCTTGGAATCATTCAGAAAAAATTGGTATATCGTATTATTATAATTGTTTATAATATCGAAAAGCTTTAAAGTCTAGGTAATCATCTATCATTATTGTTATTTTCCCTGTCTTATGATTGTGTAAATGCCTGACAGACAAAAAGATAAAATTTAGGAACAGTTTTATATAAAATTACAATTAATATTTCATTGGAAGACTCTGGTTTTCCTCCATCTTTCAAACTTGCCGATGCAGCATAAATTTAAATTACGAAAGAAACAATCATCAAGTAATTATTTGTGACATTGTAAGACGAAGTGAAGGCTTCGAATGAATGAAGAAAGTAATAATAACATGCACACGCTTAAAATTTAACAGAAAAGAATAAAACTAATCCATCTGCTATTACAACATAACAATAGCATCAGAATACAATCCCAGCGAAAAGTTCTTAAATTTCTGATCGGATACGGAGAGAAACAAAACAGAAACCGACCCATAGGCCAAACTAATTTTCTTGTCACTTTTTGATAAGAAGATTACAGATTATATTTTCACCAACGCTTGATTCTTAAAACTAAATCAAGTGGATTTAAGAGTGTAAGTTAGAAGTGGTCCCCTTTTTTAGATTGGGAAGTTCGTCATTATAATCGTGATTAAATATAATTCAAAAGACTGAAATTAATAAGAAAATTCAACGAAAAATATTAATTTACCCTTGAATTCATCAGATATACTTAAGTATGTTTTACTTTCCTGAGAAGATATTTGAAATCGTAGCTTTTTTAATATGGAATGAAACATTCTTATTACACAAGAAATTAATTTTTTTTTCTTTAAGACAACCTTAAAAATTGATTAAAAAGGCCGACCGGTCAAGTATCTTCCAGCATCTGCAAACTCCTCAATTATTTATTTATCATCTCAACTCTTCTTTACATTTCATTTTTTTGTTCTCGTCAAAATTTATGTTTCGTTCTTTTATTTTCATAAATATTCTTTAAAATAATTGCACTCTGATAAACTGCTTACGAAACTAACAAAAAATAATTTTTGTTTAACAAGAAGAAATAAAATTGGTTTAGCTATTAAAGTTGATGTTAGAAGCCATTGCTCAGCATAAACGTCGAAAAATAAAACATCAATAATGTAAGGGAAAACAGAAAATCATAAAAGGCGTAAAACTCCCAGCGACCAATCAAAATTCACGAAATGTTGAATTCATAAAGTTATGCGTCGTGTTCAAGCAAAGGGTGTCTCGAACATTTTTCTTATACTTCTCATTACTCTTATACTCTCCATGTATGATTTTCAAATACTAAGTCTTAATATGCATAAATTTAAATCCTTTCAATGTAAAAAAGTTATAATAAAGTTATGGAAAAAATTACCTAGTAAAAATAGTTCCATTATTAAAATCATAATTATAATGAATGAACATAACTGAAAAAGTGATATGTTCAAGCTGAGAAACTACGAATAAGAATGTATTTGATGTTTAATGAAGACATAATAAAAGAGCAAAAGCACTTTAAAATAGTTTTATGGTTTTATTCAATTAACAGCACAAGACAGCACAATAAAGATAAATTCTTGAGAAACAAACTGTAGGCTGTGAAATTGTGCGCAGGAGTTAAATCATTTAAAAGAATGAATGAATTTATTTTACTTTAACTTTTAAAAGGATTGCATTAACTCAACTTATGTAAATTCAGTTTGATAACAAACACGATAAATAAGAGGCAGAAGATGAAGGAAAAAAATATTTGCATTTATTCTATTGATTTATTTTGGCTTCCGAATAATTTATAAACGCTGCCCTGACCCATTTCAAGAAATTTTAACTTTTGACATATCTAAGCCCGAATAATATTAAGTTAAACAAATATTACTGAAGATCTCTCTACGTGAGTCAATGCTTATATGTTCTCTTATTTTCTTGCATTTATTGAATTCGTTCTTTCAACTTCTTTTTCGCTGAAATCAATTTTCTAACGAGTATAAAACATTTAGCGTCTTAAGATTAAGCAGACTTACTTATCGATTCAAACGACAACTAAATCACCTGGGAGTGACATTTTACGATTCTTTTGAATATCTTTTTTCTCAACATAATTAACACATTGAAAGTTTTACGAATGAATTTACGATCGAAAGTAATATTCTTTCATTAAAGGGTTAAAGACGAGTGGAGAGCTCATAAAAATTTTAAAATATAATTAAAGTCAATTATTAAGTCACACTGCACAGTTTTTAGTCAAAGAAAACAAAAACTTGTATTTCAGTTGCAGCCTTTTATCTTTTGCATAATTCGTGACAGGTGAAGTGGAAATAAATGAATGTGGTTAATCAATAGCTTTCCCTTTTTAACTTGTCATGAAAATATTGTCTTTAATATTCTAAAGAACATTCTCTTTGAGAACAAGTATGAATCCACTTTGCATTTGTTGCAAATATCTTGAACAGAGTAAAAATGAACAACAAGGAAGAATTCGATACTGGTGAATGATTAGCGAGATACAAATCTAACTTCATTGCAAAAACATGAGTTTCGTAGGTAGAAGAAGCTCATTAATATATTTTCGATTCGCAAGCGGATGTCAAATTACATAAATTGATTACTCGCTGCACAAAATTTACAAGTCCACGATGCTTCGATGTGCAAACAAAACCAAACTCACCTGTTCGAAATTGCTTTTCAAAAATCCATCAAATTGACATTCAACGATAAAGAGTCATTAATAATGAATAAAAACCAGCGGCTACTTTTATAGAATTGGTTGTCACGTCATGTAAATTTTTTATAGTTTGTGACTAAAATATATTGTCTGTAGGAGTCAGAAATTATGATATTGGAAATGTTTAATGAAAATAACATAAAATATTAAAGATTCTTAAAAGCAAAACCATATATTCTTGCATACATAAATATTCTTTTCCACTTTCTTTGACACACCGATGTTTACATATCCTAAATCTTTATTCAAATGAATCGCAAAAATTATTTATTTCCAACAACACTCATGGATTAAAACTGCTACATTTTTCTTTTCATAAATAAACAACATCAAAATATTGTTAGAATGAGAAATGTCTTTACAATCATTGGAATCTTGTTACCTTCAACATTGTAGGCAGTTTAATTGGCGTCACAATTTCATCTTCAAAACTAAATGTGAATAAAAATTATTTACGATGCATTAAAAAGTGTTTAAAACTCAACCCCATAACAATAAAATAATGATGAATTCATTAAATGCTTAAGTAGCGCATAAAAAGGAAAACAGATGCAACATGAAGAAATGCGAATTTTCTTTGGAATTTTTTGATCTTCCGTGTTAATTAAAGATACTTTTACGTTTTTAATTTGTTGTAAATTAATTATGGAAATTTTTCGAGTCTCTTAGAATTCTGCATAAATGTGCAAGAGAAAAAGAATATTGTTAATGAAACTTGAAACATATCTAATTAGGAAAAAAAACTCATGAATTTAATTAAAATAAATTTCACTGACTGTTTAATGTAAGAGAAAAAGTCGATGTTGAAACTTCTTTCATACTTTATCTACTCCATTATTAAAGCATGATAATCTAAAATGTTAAAACAATTTTTAAATGAATTTTGAGAATAATTTTTATTATGTTTTTTTCCTTTTTACCATGGGCATTGTCAAAAAATATTTACTTCGAAAACAAAGCAAAGTTACTTAACTGTTGGTTACTTAATTTCTATCATTAGCCGCCATTATGAAAAGTATAATCACGATATTCTGCATAGATCACGTCAGGAAAATTTTATCAATAAATTAACTGAGCTCGGTTGGGCTTGTGTCATGTTTTTTCGAGCCGCATCAAAGCAGTTGGATAATTTTCTGATTTTGTTTCATGTATGTATATGTTTATCGGTTAAAATTTAATTTCATCTGCATTCATTATGTTCCATCGCATAAATCAATTTTTCTGATAACTCATAAATTTCATGATGGAAAAAATGTTAAGGAATTTCCAATATTTTTTGAGCATGAAATATTAATGTACTTTATATTACCGTGTGGATGATGGTAAATAAATATAAGCGATGCTTGCATGTTGTTTCATTTCTAAATTTGTTGCCGATTCGAATCTATTCGATTTATTTACATCAGTGTTTTTTTGAGGCTTATGCTTCAAAGATATTGAGAAATAATTTATTAAATAAATGAAAAATAAAATAAAATGATAATAAAAGAATTTTTTCACATGACTTTCTTAGAAGTTTTGATAGATTTCACTTGGGTATATGATGTTTATTTCACATAAGAAATTTTTTTAATGAATTTTAAGTAGAAACATTTCTATATAGTTTCGTTTTTTGAAGAAAATGAATCATGAATTCACAAACTTTCTTATTATGATAATAATTATAATACCTAAGATTATATTTTCCCACTTGTTAAATTGATTTAAAAAACTTATTTTAAACATTATTTGAAATACCTCAACAGATTTTTTAGTGATAAAAGTAAAATCAACTAGAAATTAACATTCAGAAACGATTCAATGTTCAAAGCATGAAATATAAGAATATTTTAGAAAAAATGTTCCACTTTATTTATTAAATAGTAAACCTTGTCATTCGTTGCAGTTGGACTGAAATTCTCATTGAAAGGTAGTTCTCACAAAACGGATATTATTAGAGCAATTGAAACGTCTACTAAATAAATAAATCAAACCGATTTTAAATATTTTTAACTGAATAGTTTTTATATGTTGATTGCTCTTAGAATGTTTGCTGAAGGAAGGCACATGAAACACATATCGAAATAGTCGCTGCATATGTTTATTAATTATCAATCACTAACCAGAAGTGTTTAATTTAGAACGAAAATTTATTCTCCAGATTTTTGTTAAGATAATCTAATTATTGCCAGTTTCTGAAATTCATGGAAAACAATAAATAAAATTTTCTGAGATATATTTTAATCATGTAATTCCAGTTGTTTATTGAATCACTTAATGTTGTATACATTATTTTTACAACTTATGCTTTTACGGCTGCAACGGGCTTAATTGCGTTCTCTGATGTTAAGAAACCATATTTTTTCAGGACAGCATCTTGCTTAACAGTTCCTTTAGCACACTTTTGTGCTGCTTTTACTCGAATTTTCTGTGAAAGAGAAGACAAAGTTTAAAGTTTCAATTTAAGCAAAGGTGGATCCAGATATTTCTCACCTCAAGGCGTCGTTTGTGGTTGTAATGGAGACGAGCTTTAATCTTTCTCTTAGCTTCCAAACTACTGACGACATCTTTGTAGTGCCAACCAACTTCATGAGCTACACGTCCAACTTGGCAATATTTGCGATCAGGACGTAAGCACAAGATTTTCATCGCAAGCGGTACACACACACGCTTTTGTTTATCGTATGGTGGGGGAATTCCTTCGAAGACCTTTAAGCGGTTGAGAGCAATCTTACCGCGACGTGTCTTGTATGGAATCATACCACGAACAGCTTTCCAGAACATTCTGCTGGGAGCACGGAAGTGGAATGGACCACGAGCTGGGTTGACATTGCAACGTTTGCGCAAATGAGCCAAGAACTTAATTTTGTTTCTACAAATAAATAAATCAAGTTGATGGTTAGAATAATTTCATTTCCTATTGTTGCAGATATGTATTAGAACGAATAAAAATCAGTGTTATTATGTCTAATATCATTGGAAAATCAAACAATGTAGGTAAGATAATAAATCATCACTTGTATAACGTAAGTCAAAAATGATTTGACTTCATTCTCTATCAATTCAAACTTTCACTCTTACCTGAAGAAATGGCCTGAAAGTTGCAAATCTTCACATCGAACAATGACGACTTTAGTTCCAGAAAGGATTTGTTTAGCCACGATCGAAGCCAGGCGGCCTAAAAGATGACCGCGACCGTCGATGACAATAGACTAAAATGCATAAAAAATATTCAAAATTATTTATAAGGTTATGTCAATATTAAACAAATTAAATTTTATCCAAATAGTTAATTTAAGGGTAATACATTTTGTAATTAAATTCAGAAGAATTCATAGATTGCATCGCATACAATCAGTTCACTAATATTGTTAGATGCTGTCTGATATTATTCTTCATCCACGTTTTTATATTATTATTTTTTTAATCATTCAAAATTTCTTTGCACACTTGAAATATGCTTGAATTTTTACATTTTTTAAGTAAAACAATAATTTATCTGTTCAACTCAACTAGAATATCATTTCTATTTGGATAAAAACCATTGTTTTTTTAATTTTTTATACCTTGTCACTGAATTTATAAGACATCTTCGCTTCGGCGACGGGGGAAAGAAAGAATGAACGTTATAACAGTGAGGAAGGGGTATAAACAAAGGGAATGAAAATAGAATTATAACAGTTATCCCGAGATATCTCTTTCCCATTGCAATTTAAGCTTATCAATTTTCATTTAATTTTCGGGCGTGCCTCAATCTAAATCTGCAGTATCTTGTAAAACATTTGTTTAAATTTAAACTAAATATTAACAGAAGCTAAAGAAAAATGTCTGGTAAGTAGTAAAAGTTGAATTACTTATGAAATTTGAATGAAGGAATTTTATTCATAAATATTTATTCTACACTTTAACTGGCAGATGATGACTGGGAAACAGATGCAACTTATGAGAACAAGCAAACAGAGAATGAACAGCGATGGGGTGGTAAGGAAGTGATAAGTGAACGAGCCGGTGCGATTGAGTAAGAAGAAAAATTTGAATGAATTGTAATGATTCATCATTGTTATTAAATCATTCTTCTAGCATGCGAAAGCTCATTGAGGAAACGGAAAAGGCAGATGATGATAAAAAGAAAAAGCTAGTTCAAGAAGGCAATATAACTGGATCAAAGGGTAAATATTTTTAATGAGTAAGGATAAAAATTTAATTAACTTCCTGTTTTTATTGATTATCTTAAGGATATGGAGGCCGTTACGGTATTGAGAAAGATCGTATGGATGCTTCCGCTTTGGGACATGACTATATAGGAAAAGTTGAAAAACATGGATCACAAAAGGATTATTCTGAAGGTTTTGGTGGGAAATTTGGTATACAGAAAGATCGAGTTGATAAATCTGCGCTTGGTTTCGATTACAAGAGCCAAGTTGAGAAACATGAGAGTCAAGTAGATCACAAGAAAGGTTTTGGCGGAAAGTTTGGTGTTGAGACTGATCGAATGGACAAATCAGCCGTAGGATTCCAAGAACAAGTTGGAAAGATTGGAACTAATTACTCCAAGACCAAGCCTGATATATCAGGAGCTAAACCATCAAACCTCAAAGCAAAATTCGAAAATTTAGCGATACAAAAAGAAGAAGAAGCAAGAGAAAGAGCTGCACAGCAGAAAAAATTGCGAGAAGAGAAAGATCGAATTGATCGTGAGCAAGCTGCCAAGGAACAAGTAAGATTAAATATTTTTTTCTGCAAGTTCTCTTAAATTCATAAAATTTTATTTAGGCTGCCAATGCTTCTAAGGAACCAACGCAAGCTTATAAACCTCAACGAACTGCTGTTGTCACTGGAAGAAATGAGAAAATCAGTGACGCAATTAATGTATTCAATGCACCTGTAGAAGAGAAACCTGTTGCGGTATGTTTGTCAAATTTTTTGTGATAATTACTTGATTTTATTATTTACTTCATCTTATAGAAACAACCAATTGTAATTCCAAAAGCTGAAAAAACAACACCAGCACCAGCACCCGACATCATATCAAGTACTGAGATAAAAGAAACACCGAAGGAAGAGACACCACAAGTAGAGAAAGTTTGGGAAGAGCCTAAGAATGAAACAATCCAAGAAACACCACAGCCTGCTGTTGTTGAAGAAGAGAAGTTTCGTCAATCCATTCCAAAAGTTGAAAACAACGGAAGTAGTGCACAAAATACTTTTGAGCCTGATCAATCAGATCCACATGCAATAACTGAACAGCAACTCATTGAACAACTTAAAAACGACAATATTGGAGAATTGGCTGAAGAACAATTCATTTTATCACCTGATGATCCTGGAATTGTTGCTTATGCGCTTTATGATTACCAAGCAGCAGCTGATGATGAAATTTCTTTTGACCCTGGCGATGTCATAACTCACATTGAAATGATTGATGAAGGCTGGTGGAAAGGTTTACATCAAACATCTGTCACTTATGGATTATTCCCAGCAAATTATGTTCAATTAAAAGAGTAACACCAACTTGCTGAGTAGTATTAACATCAGTTGAAACAACTGAAAATGCAATGAGTTGTCGTCACTTTTGATTAAATTTTAAATTGAAACCATTTTTTATATTTTCTTATTTCAATTATAAATAAATGTCAGCAGTTGTGAAAGAAAATTATTAATATTTTAAAGATAGATAATTCAAATGTAACAATCGAATTGATTCTAAATCTTTGTTTCTTATCCACCTCATTAATCTTCCTTAAAAGAATAAATAAATAAATCAAATTAATCAAATTAAAGTCAGAACTCGAGTTTTTCCCGCCTTGACTCACATGCTGATCTGTTTTTTCCTGAAAATGAGAAGATGAGCGAAACATTGAGAAGATCAAATAAGAGCTCTTTGGAAATTTCATCACGCTTTTCCACAATTACATTTTCTCTCAAACAGCTTAGTTTGTATCCGAATTTTCACCTGAAAAGATCGCAAACGAGTTTAGTTTTTTTTTCTCGTGCCTCGCATTTATGAAATTGAAGAAAAGTTTATTTCTCATAGCTAATTTAAGAAATATTGGCGCTTATTTACAATTACAAAGTGAATAACTCATATTGAATTGTGTTACGTATGATAAATTGGATCGCAAAGATGATTTAGTGAAGGAAAAGTTATTTTCATCTTTGCAGCACTTCAAAACTTCCCAGCCATTTGAAATGGAAGAAAAATAAAATTCTTCGTGAAAATTTCTTAATCACTTGAGAGAATCATTGAACTATTATTGTAGTTCATCTACATTAATGTGTAGTTTTATTCCCACACTGTTTGGAAAAGCAAAACACTTGATCGCGCGTTGGGAAGAAAATTAACATTGCAAAATTTCGCTATGTCCATAAGAACACAAAATTTTTCTTCACTTTTTTCCTTCTCTCATGTTTATTAAGTTTCTCAACCAACTTTTCTTCTTCTCTTTCCTTCCACTAAATTTCTTATGAATGCGTTAAAAATAGATGACAGTATTTTACAGTATAAACAACTTTTCTTTTTTCCTTCTTTCATTTGGAAACGTGGTGTTCGATGAGATTCCGCTTTTCATTTTAAATACATAAAAAAAGAAAAAAAGAAATAAGTGAATAAGCAAGAGAGAACTTTATTTTTCACATAAATTTTTACAGCAACTGGAATGTGTTTTATGATGATGATTTTATAATCCAAATAATCAAACATGGCTATGAATCTAAAGAGTGTTAAATATATTTACTTCTCATTTGATAGCCGTTCCTGTGATAAAGTCAAGTTGAAGTAAAAACATAATTTCTGAAGCTTGAAAAGAACGGAACAATTAAAAGTAAAAGAAGTTTGCGTTCTGAAGAAAAACTGATCGACATAGCGATCGAACTTTAGTTGTCTTGTGTTTTTTTTTTCGTGTTGTGCAATTTAATTTATTAGTGTTTATTAATGTATAAAAGAAACAATATGTTGAGAGAGAAAAGGAAACATGCCAATTACAAGCCAAATCGAAGGTAAACAATACATAAAATATTCAATAAGACAATCATCATAGAAATAGATATGTTTGAGAAGAGTCTTGCACGCCTCATTCTCCATTCTCGACTAAACATTTCGTCTTGGCTTCTATGATGACCTTGACAACGTATATTTTCTTAAGAGAGTACAGGAAAAATGAATAATTTTCCGATGAAAGATTTTTTATAATGTAAACAAATTTAATAGAAATTGTCGAGAATTATGATTTGTAAATGAAAAATGTGCTTGAATTTAATTTTAAACAAAAGTCTACCTAGTTTTATGACGCGTTTGATGACACATTGTTTGTACTTAATAATGTTAGAAGAAAAATATTTCACAGGCTCGATGCAAAGTCTTCACGTGGTATGATATATGAAAATGAAGAATTGCGAATACGTACAATAAATATAAACGCCGAGGTAGAAAGAGGTGAGATCTAAACAATTTCTTTTGTTGGCATTCATTTAAGTGAATCGCTTTCGATCATAAAATTATTTCAGGTCAATCTGAAATTAAAACTTTAAAACGAGAAAGGGAGCAGCTGCGTCGTGAGATATGGTGAGAAGAAAAATATTTTGTGTAGGATGTGATGACAAGAAGAATAATTTTCTGTTGTGTTAAAGGACATTACGGGATGAATATGATAAATTAGAGAATTTACTTCGTAATAAAGGCATTGACCCTGATGAATTCTTGAACCAGAATAAAACTGAGAACGGTGATGATGATGATCAAGATGAAGATGAAAACGCATCTGATTGTAGTGAATGTTCATGTGAAATTTGTTGTGGAGATGAATGTTGTGATGAGAAAACACAAAGTAGTCAGAAACCAGAAACGAATGATGATACTTCAAGTGAACACTCGAAAGTCGAAGCTGGAACATCATCAACATCTACAAAAGTGGAAGTTCCACAATCAAGTAGCAGTAGTAATAAAAGTTCGTCAGATGAACATAATAAGCGTTCTGGGAAAGACCGACTGAACGTAAATATCTTTATTTTTTCTCTCATTTATTTCTAAAGTTTATGACATGCAACTAATGAAAATCATGCTATTCAAATTAAAATATTTTATTGCAAGTTAAAATTTATGTAGTTGAGAGTTCAACTGATCTGTAATTTTCATTTAAAACTTCTTAGTTAAACTTTGATCATCTCTCAGTTGTTTCTGAAGAGGGCAATTCAGAGGGTAATTCAATGATCCAAAATGAAGACAGTTCCATTCCAATTCATGATTTATCAGCATTTCTACACAGTGTTGATGTGTTAAGTCCTTTAAGCTATCTTCAAAAACTCAATCCACCATTAGCACATTTTGAGAATCTGAATTTTGATGAATTCGGTGCATCAAGTCAAGAATTAAACTATGGTATGAAATTTCTTTTCAGATTATTTAAATATTGTTACAAAAAAATGATTTTTTAGATCAAGTAGGAAATTCTGGAATCTCTATAGAAGATGTCACACCACAAACAGTTGAACAAAGTCCTTCAATTTCCAAATTTAATATGCCGAATGCTGTCGTTGTACCTCCACCTATAGTGGAACAACCCACAACAAGCGAACCTGTGAAAAAGGAGTCACGTCTCAAACATTTCTTCTCACCCATTAGAAAAAAGCCGATCGTTCCTTCAGCACCACCAATGATTTCTCATCCTGATGTTTTCGTTAGTAATATTATTCCAAATAATATGTACATTAATCCGACATTACAGTTGCACAATAGTTTACCTGACAACACAGTTAAATTACGAAGCGTACCACACTCATTGGAAACAACAAGTCCAACGTCTTCCTTTCAAGTAAAATAGAATCAAAATTTTCTTTGCTTTTTGATAACAAATTTTTGAATTTTCTTTCAATAGACTGGAGGAAATTTGGAAGAATTACTTTACGATATTGAAGCTCTATCTAAGGATATTATGAATTTACAGACACAATGTTCAAGTTCAACAAATGATAATGAAAATGTTAAGAAACCTTTTCGATCTGAGTTAAATTTAGTTCTTTCATATCCACAGGGTGAAGGAAACTCTCAAGATATGAATAATTCTGACAACACACCACCAATTCCGACACCTATGGATATCATTCATCCTTTATCTCATACCAATCCTCTTTTACTTCAAAATCTACCATCCCCTTTCCCGTCTCCTATTCCTTCATCACCATTAACCCCACCAACACATTTCAAGACAAATAACACAAATATATTTGAAGATCCACCAGACTACATTCATTTAAACTTTCCACCAATTAATTCTTCACTGCCACCAGTCTTCTCCACATCAAATTCTGTCTTTTGTACAGTTTCCGCTCCATCAACTCCAGCTTCCGATCGTAAATGTATAGATAAGTTTTGTGCCAATGAACCAAGCAATGATAATCAGCAACAACGTGGAAGTGATAAGAAGAAAGGAAAGAGAGTTTCAATTGTTAATGCATCGAAAGAAGATGGTAGTGAGAAAGGCTCTGAAGGTCAGGAAGTGAACAACAATGAGAGTAAAGAAGCTGATTTGAAGTTAGATAATAAAAAAGCATCTGTTGATGCAAATACAAATCAAAATCATCATTCACATATTCACAGAAATCACAGTCATTTACATCAAAAACGTCGCATGTCGTTGGATAATAATGTCGTAAGATATCTAAAATATATTTAAATTTTCATTAATCGAAATATCATTCAAGAATTCATCACGACATAAAAATCATCGACAGATTTGTCACGATCCAAATGCAAAAGTTCAACGAAGAGAATCAAACAGATCGTCAAGTTCATTCAAGAAAAGATCGCGTTCTGATAGTTTTGGTGGTCATGGTGATGATCAAGGTGGAACTTCAGTTTCTGAAAGATACAGCAATAGTCTTGCATCATCAAGAGAATCATCAACAAGTTTGAGTGTGAAATCAGGAAAACGGAGAATTTCCATTACATCTTATGGCGAGTCAAAAAAGATTCCTTGGTGTGGATGTTGGGGAAATTCTTGCTTATAACAAATTATTTACAAGCTTATTTTTTTAAGAATAGTTTAATTATTTTATTTTTCTTTAATATTAAATAAATTTCATCAATCACATGTTGTCATTGCTTTAATTATGAATATTTTTAGGGCTGAGTTTTCTTTTTATTTTTAGCCTTTTGTTAGCCTCGTCTATCTAATGAAAATGTTAAATTTTCACAAGAATCTGAAGAGTTTTTCATGTTTTCAATAATCTGATCATGAAGACCATCTTCGATGATTCTCTTGTCAAACCAGAATGCGTGATTGTTTCTATCGTCGTCATTATCAGAGTTGAAAACTGATTTGATACTTTGTGTAATCGTTTCACGAGATATTTCGAGAAATTTAGATTTATCACTGTTATATAAATCAACTGCTTTCTGATTCGCACAATTTTGTATTTGAGTGCAACAATAATCGACGTTCTCGATTGCATACTTCAAGAACTTTAAAATTTCATAAATGTGGTCATTCTCACTCCAGGTTGGAAAAGCATGTGATGCATCAAACAAAAATGTGTCAGGAGAGACTAAAGGATGAGTCATAGAATCAATAAATTTGATTGTTGGATGAAATTTCTGATTAGGAAAAGTTGATTCCAGATGTAAAGTAAATCGAAAAATTCCATTTTTAAATGGACCACTACGAACAAACATTACACCATCCCAAGATAATGAATGATTTTTATTTGGGAGAATGTAAATAGAACCCGACGGGAACTCTGACATCAAAAGTTTCCTGAAAAATATGAAATCATAAAATAATTTAAAAATCCAGAAATCTAAAAATTTAACTTACATTTCAAATAAAATTCGATATTCGGTTTTTGCCTGATTACAAAGAAAGTCATCAAAAGAAGTTTCTGATGGTACGTCTGTTGGCATCGTTTGATTTTTCTTTGATTCTGATTAATTTAGTGAAATGTGGAAATTTCTCTATTTTTTAAAATAAACAAAAGAAAGGGGTACGCAGCTATAACAATATTTATGCTTGCGATCTCATCAGTACATCAGAACTGTAGAATCAACAGTTATTTAATAAAAGCTAAATGAAAAATGAGGATTTATTCAACAGCAAGAAAATTAATTTTTTATTGATATTTTTAAACAAAAGAAATGTAGAAAAGAAAATACTTTATCTTATTTTATGAATTTTTTTATCTTGCCAACTATTGAACTTGATAAAAGAGGTTTCAATAAGAAGATTAATATGTGACACTAACTGCGTTCCCAATGGTGACAACTCTCTCATAGCTCTGTCTTCAAATGGCTTCACTTTTGACATGTTGAATCTTTGCAGAGTGTCATGCATTTTAACAGCTTTGGCCTCGAGTTCAGGTGTCGTAAGGGGAAAACACGACCAGAATTCTTTCAGTAATTCACATGCTGATAAATATAAATTGTTCACCTCTTTTTCAAAATCGATTGGCACGAATTGCGATAAGTTGTGATCTTGATAGCCTCGCATAAGTAAGCCACCTGGACTTAAGTCGCCAAGTGCATTAACTGCCTGAGTTGGATTTATAATTTGTGTATGTGGAACTCGTTGTCCCCAATCTTTAGCATTATTACGAAGCATATGATCAACAGCGTCTGGTGAATATTCTTGGACTTTGTTAACTCTTTCACTTGTCACTGTTGATGACGATGGTGTGGGTCCATATAAATATCTTTCGAGACGTTCGAGATTGAGAGCATTTGATGAAACTGGAAGTGAACTATCAACTTCATCATTACCTAAATCATCATATTGAATTTTTTCAACAATTTTTTGTTTCTTTTTCAACTGTTGCTCAGCAAGTTCCTCTATTGTTGGAGGCACTTCCTCTATTACTTCAATGGTTTTTCTTTTCTTTTTAGATTCTGATGATCCATTTAATTTCTTTTCTTTCTCATCATTTTTATTACTATCATCGTTTATAACTTCAACTGCTTTCTCTTGACACGTTTTAAGTACCATGAAAGAATGTTGATTAAATCGCTTGATGATTGATTGATGAACAATGTTTCCGCCTCCACTATCAGTTTTCTGGTCGTTTGTATTGGAACTGCAGAAACCTTCTTCAATTGTATTGTCTCCAAATTTTCCTAAGTCAAGGAAAGGATCACCCAAGTTACTTCTAATTTCCTTTCTTAAAGTGCTATCGTCCATTTTCCCGCACTCTACAAAAATGTCTTTTAAGCCTGCGGTGATTCGATCACGATGGAAATAATGTGATTGAAAAAATCGCGTCCAGAATTCTGATTCGCTTAATTTTAGGGGAACACATTCCATATGTTTCTTTTTTACAGCCGGATATGCTTTGAAAATACATTCTATGATTTCACCTGTTAAGTTATACTTGAATCCATTACAGCCATCAGTGACTGGTTTTATTTCTGACAGAAAAGCACCCGACACACCAATTTCCTGCTTGTTCGTGTTGCCTTTTAGATTTTGTAAATCTTTTCCGTGAATCTTCCAGAATTCTTCTGAAGTTAAAATCTGAGAAATAACCAAATCTTTGTAGAGTTGTAATAGTTTTGGATTTTCTGTTAACACACGATTCTTTTCCTCTAATTCAGAGTCAATTTTTCTTTTGAAGTTTGGCAATAATTTTTGCACTAAATCTTTGACTTTCTCGCGATCAGCAATTTGTTGTTGTTGACCTTTTCTATTGACGAAATGGAAAGTTGAACTATTGCCATCATGCAGAACAACTTGCAGTTGTATCTTGGGCTTTCCTTCCGGTGAGATTTTTTGCACTAAAATAAAATCAAATAAATGTTTACGAATGATTGCATAAATTATGAAATAAATGAAAGAACTTCTGATTACTTTTAATGTCATAGAAACTGTGAGAAGCGAGACAGGTTTCCCTGTTCTCTACAATGAATGCAATCCGTTCCTTCATAATATACAGCGTTCCATCATTTTTCTTATGTTTAACTTCAGGAACCGCCAATAGAACATCTTCTATTTTTGACATTTCTAGGTAATTTAAAAAAAAAAATTTTAAAAAAATATACAGTACAAATAAGGTTTGTGTTCAGCTCACTTCAGTATGGATTATATCCTTCAACTATCTCACTACTATCGTACGACTAAATTTCGCATTTCTTATGTCTAAATTTAATTAAAAGAATTATTTTTAGAGGAGATATTTTTTAGTTTTCTATAACCTCGAAGCGGGTGATTTCAATCCACCTAAAAAAATATTGAATTGAGTGCGTTCAGTAAAAATGATTCTGTTTATTCTGAAAAATATTTAACAGTGTAGTACGTAATTTTGTGAAGTCGATTCTTTCGATCAGCAATAAAAAGTATTATACATTGCAGTTGTTATCAGTAACAAGACTAATACAATGTAAGCAATCAAGTGATTGTTACTTCACGGTTTATATCAAAACGTGTACAAATGAAAATCTTTCCAGACGTCAGCTATTCGGCTCTACGTGAAATGGACAACAACACCTCCAGCTCTGCTAATTTAGCTGACGAAGCTGACAATGAAAGAAGTGCAGTAAATGGTGAAAATGATGAAGAAGATCCAGAATTTTCTACTTATTTCACCGATCAAAAGGTTGATATTCCCGAAATTGATAAGGTACTTGATATTCATAATGAAAAATTTGATGATAAGAAGTTTTAGCATACGTCACATTAATTCTCCGCACAAAAGAACTTGCATAATGACGATTATTAAAAATTAAAATATGAATCATTGTCAACACCGCAAAAAATTAATCTTTGTTTTCTAATCGTGAAAAAATAATTCGACTGTTGCCATTAAAATGTTTTTGTTTTGATTTCATTAGCCTGGATTTAGTTTCCCTAAACTTTTGGCTTATACCGGTCCTGGATTTCTGATGTCAATTGGTAAAGAGATATAAATTACAATTACTGAATCATATGATACAAAGTTATCTTCATACAGCGTATCTTGATCCTGGGAATATTGAATCTGATTTGCAAAGCGGTTCTATTGCAAAATATCGACTTTTGTGGGTTCTACTATGGGCAACAATTTTGGGTTTAGTTATGCAACGTTTATCAATGAGAATTGGAATTGTGACTGGTCTGCATTTGGCAGAAATGTGCTATCGACAATACAAAAAAGTTCCTCGATTAATTTTATGGATAATGATTGAAATTGCTATAATCGGATCAGATATGCAGGAAGTCATTGGAACGTGAGTGAAATGATTTACTGTAAAGTTATGAAAAACGTTTTTTTAATTTTTTTTTTGTATATTTCAGAGCAATCGCAATATATTTGCTCTCAGCTCGAGCGTAAGTAATATTTATTTATAATTAAAAAAACACTTGCGTCAGATATTGATGAATGTTTGATAACATTTCAATATTAATTTGATAATTAATGGTGAATCTTCTTAGAGTTCCATTGTGGGCTGGTACAATCATCACAATTATCGATACATTCACATTTTTATTCCTGGACAAATATGGATTAAGGAAACTTGAAGTTTTCTTTGGATTTCTGATAACATTAATGGCAATAACATTCGGATATGAATTTGCTGTTGTTAAGCCAGACTTCGGAGGGATTATGAAAGGAAGTTTAATTCCTTGGTGCTCAAATTGCGATCCTCAAGTTCTTCTTCAGGCTGTTGGTATTATAGGAGCTGTCATCATGCCACACAATCTTTACCTTCATTCAGCACTTGTTAAATCGAGGAATGTTGACAGGAAGAATGTTCAGAAGGTCAAAGAAGCGAATTATTATTTTCTCATTGAGGCTTGTATCGCTCTGAATTATAAATAAAGGAATCATGCATAAGTAACATTTTTTACACATATTTTCTATACATTTTAAATTTTCAAAAATTTTTATAATTAATATTATATGTTGAGTCTGTGCAAACTCTTTGAATCTTTTAAAGGATTCTACTCTGACGGCAGCGGACAATTTTCCTCGTAAATGAAAACTAATTTGCTCTAATGGATTTTTTTCTTTTTTGTTAATTTTAAAGAACTCAACACCGCTGATTCCAAATTTCTCGGGAGAAATTTGTCACTCCCTGATAATTTGTCACTCCCTG